ATGCATGCATTTGGACCAGAAAAAAACCAGACTACACAAGATGCTCAACCCCTGCACGCGAAATTGCCTTGCCCAAAAAAGAAAGTCTGCCCCCGTGTTTTTTTCCCCGGGCAGTTGCACCTTGTTTATAAGCGCATGTGCCACTTGTATGTGGGTGGCCACACGACAAAAATTACACATGTGCTTAGTGACAAAAGACGTCGGCCCTGGGTATTCCTGTTTTGAGGCCCGAGACAGACTCCGCGAAAAATGTGGCGGAGTGAGTTATGACGTCGCGCACAATTTCGCCCATGACTGTACGCCACGTCGATGCGGCTCATCGTGCACAATGCGCCCTTGCACCGCCACGTGTACATTGCCGATGTTGGATAGAAGCCCAACTGTGTCCACAAATTGCAATTATGCACACGTCACCCGCTGTGGTTACAGATACATGTGCGACTAACAAACACGTTTCCGGAAATATTCACTCCGCCAGAAAGTGTTACACGCCCAAATGTGGCAATATTCACTCAGCTGAATGTTGCCCCATCCCCCTACGGCTCCGCGAAGAAACACACTCGACATTGAGTCAGCCGAGCACTGGCACTTGGGCATAAATTGGCACGCAAATTAGTCACCAACACACAGACTTACTCACTAGTTTAGCCACCAACATGCCGCGCCTGTTTCGCCGCTCTCAGGTTCCCGTGCACATTAAGAGGGCAATCTGTGCCCATCATGTCAGTAACCCCCGCATGCGCCAGGTCGACCTGGCGCGCTGGTGCTTTACCCGTTTCGGCGTCCGCCTTGATCGCTCGACCATTGGTCGCGTGCTCAAAGGAGCCGACCGTTGGAGCGCCGTCTCCAACGACGACAACCCCGTCCGCGTGCGTGGCGGCGCATTTCCGCAGCTTGAGCAGGCTATGGTGCGCTGGATTCGCAACGCCGGGCCCGCGGGTGTGCCGCTCACCTTGATTACTATCCGCGACTACGTTGCTACCATGGCACGCGGAATGGACCTACCGCCTACCTTCCGCTGCTCCGTGGGGTGGGTTCGCCGTGCCTTGCGCCGCAACGGCATTCGGTGCCGCAGCGCAGTTGGGGAGGCCGCCGACCAGGACCACGCCGCGGTCCGTACCTGCCAGGAGCAGCTCCCGCAGCTCCTCATGTATCTCTCCCTCCGTCCGCGCGACGTCTACAATTTCGACGAGACGGCTCTGTTCCTGTCTGTCTTGCCGCGCAAGACGTACGGCGGGTCGCGCGTGCCGGGGCGTAAGCTGGCGAAGGATCGCCTCACGGTCGGGTTGCTCGTTAACGCGGATGGCAGTCACGCGTTCCGGCCTTTGATCATCTCCAAGTCCAAGCGCCCTCGCGACTTTCTGCCCGACTACGACCCCGAGGACTTGTGCTACTGGCGTCACAATAAGAAGGGATGGATGAATGCGCAGTTGTTCACTCACTTCATCGGCCAACTCAACGCCGCCATGGTCGACGAGGACCGCCACATCGCCATCCTCTTGGACAACGCAAGCAGCCACGTGCTGAAGGACGACAATGCAACGTCAGAAGACCTTTTCGGCTTCCGCACTCGCATCGTGGGCAACATCCGGCTTGTCTTCTTGCCGCCCAACACCACCGCCTTCACGCAGCCGCTTGATCAGGGTCTGATCGCCACGACGAAGGCACGCTACCGTCAGCACTGGCTTCGCGCGGTCGCGGCCCTGTGGCAAGATGCTGACGCCTTTCCCGTGATGGCGCGTTACCGCCCCAACATGCGCGATGTCATCGCATGGCTCTCGGAGTCATGGATGAACATCCCCGTGCGTACGATTCAGAGGTGCTGGTGGCGCACGGGGTGCATGCCACGCTCGTGGGCCATGGACCTCGTGCATGTTGGCCTGGACGGTCTCGCCACGGTCGGCAACGGCGTCAATGACGCTCTCCCAATTGACCTCGACGAGGACACCGGGGATGTCGGCATCATGATCGCCCGTCTTGGCCTCGGGCCTAGCGCCATGCCGGCCGCCGCCTTCGTCGCCATCGATGACGACCACCCCACGTGCGCCGAGCCGGGCGAGGACCCGCTCGCCCTAGAGCCGCCGACGGGGTATTCGGGCGCGTCATGGGAGCCTCCATCCAACATGCAGGCCGTCTACGACGACGACAACCCAGAGAGCCGCGAGGCGCGGCGTTACGCACGTGCGGCGAGCGAGATGCTCATCGGTTACGCACGTGCCAGCGGCATCACGCCGCGTAACCTTTGTGCGCTGTTCGAGATTAAGAACCCGGTCATCGTGGACCGCATGGAGCGGGCTAGCCCCCCAATGAACCTGATACTGCGCCAATCCCCGATCCCCGGCATGCTGCGTCCCCCGCGTCCACTCCCACGCAGGTTCCTGCCACGACCGAAGATGCGGCATCCCTTCGCCGCCGCGGGCGCGTTCTGCCTGCGTGGATGTATGCACATGCTCCCACCCGCCAGGAGCTGATTGACTCTGGCGTGAGTGCCGTCATGAACGGCTATGTGGACGCGGCTGAGTGGATGACCCTGTGAAGAGTGATGCGACTTTTGGGGTTTAGGAGTTGGAATCTCCTCTGAGCACATTTGTGCATATCTTGTGCACAAATGTGAACTGTGTCTAGCCCCGTTACACACTTCATTTGCGCATGTGTGCGTCTGGTATTGGCCGAAATGTGGTGGCTGCATGTTCGTGCCTGTTTGTGTGTAATTCTGTAATCGGGAGCAACGAAAATGGGAAAATGTGGTGGTAACCCTGGCAACACACAACAAACAACCACAGCCAACCAGCAATGATTATGTTTAAATTACCCGAGAAGTTACACGTTCCAGTTAAACGCCCACCATGCCCGTGGCGACATGCACGAAATCCCGCGAATTGTCAAAAACACTTACAGACCCTCATGGTAAGGCAAGTATGGGGGACTCAAACGCGCAACAGGTGTATAGTGAGTTCCCTTTTTTTGGTGCTGTGGGTCTGTGTGCCCATTCGGACGATTGTGGAACTTCTGTGTTGCCTTTCCCTCCCAATGTGGTTCTGGCGAGCGGGAAACCGAGTCGCCAGAACTGATGAAAATTGTGCTTCGCGCACCAATGACGTTGCAGGAGTTCCGGACGGTCCGAAATGCTGTCCGGACGACGCCAGGAGCGAAGAACGGACGATGAACCAGCAGAAAAGTGTCAGAACTCGTACGGACGATCGCGACGTCGCAAGGGGTCTTACGAACTTACTCACGAAACTAGACGAAGAATGTAACCCTACAGTAGTTCGTACGGCTCTCCGTCCGGACGATGAAAAGTGAAAAAGTTACGCGCCCTTATCCGAGCAGCCTTCCCCCATCAGATTCACGTTTCAGGTGTTTCAGAACTGAGACCTGTGATGAAAAGCGACCGATCATCTCAGCCTTCACGCGGATTCGCACAGCAGCAGCCCACGTCCCAAAATCACAGCACACCAATATCACGTCATTTCATTTCACACGCAGTTACAACTCTCAACAAATCAAAGCACAGGCCCACTTGGCAGCTGCCGAAGCGCGTGAGGGGCAAGACAAGACGTGAGAGGCAGTCTCAGAGCCAGCCAAGAAGATCAGAACTGAGAAACGAGAATCGAGGAAGAAAAATCGAGGTTCGGGAATTTGGGGGTGAGTGAGCAACCATGTCTCTCCCTCTCCGCTCTCATAGACTTCCCCTTCCCTTCCTACCCCGCTCCCGCCCTCTCCCCTTCCCCCTCCCCCCCCCCCCCCCACCATCCGCCTCCCCCTCTTCCTCCTTTCTCTGAAGTCCCCAGAGGTATCGCCTGTCTGCCGTGTCTCTCGACTCACAACACGACCTGGCAAGACTGGGATAACGGTGGGGTTACCCTTGGCTTCGAGCTTCGGTACAATGCGGTGCTCCTCCCGCCACAAGATGCTTCCAGATCGTGAGTCGTGTCGTGACCAAACGACCATCGGGTTCCACCTTGGGGACGACTGCCCATTGGCAGTGTTGCGCATAGCGACAATCTCCACGCACTACTGCAAGCGCGTTTCACGGCGGAGAAAATCTCCGCTTTACCTTGCCACACGATCCCAGATTTTACTACTAGTAGGCTCTCCTGATAATTTATTATTTTGTTAGTACTCTTTAAAGCGATAGATATTCGGTAATGGCTTGCACCTTTCGCCGACGCCGCGGCATTCGAACGGCACGGCACAACCACGTCATCCCTGGGCGGCCGAGTCCACCGTGGATTGCGGTTGCGATGATGCTTGTGCGGCTGCTACTACTAGCGTACTACACGCCATGCTCGGGGGAACTGGACGCGAATCCCGCGCCGCCCGCGCGGAAAGCCTCAGATACAGGGTTACTAAGTTCGTCCAGAAGTAACGGGCTTAGTGGAGGAAATACTGTTACAAGTAACGGTAGAACCGTGCGGAATATGAAAAGGCCTACTCTGCCTATTCCCCTCCGCCCTGTCGGGTGGCGGAACGCGAATCACGCTGCTCCAACGCCGCTCCTGCCTGTTTCACACGGGCAAGAAATTTCCGCTGGACTCCGCCACGTGGCCGCACCATCCGCCGGAGATCCCGAGGGCATCCGCGGCGTCGCGCGCGGCAACTGGGCGTCTAAGGGAATGATCGGCGCAAGGCGGTGGCAATGGCGGGCGGGAAAGAAAGACCTTTCAGCGGAAGCCACGGGGGAGGAGGAGGAGGACGGGGGAAATACGGCCGCGCGCACCGCACCTCGATCGTTGTCTCAAGCTGCTGCTGATTCGGGCGATACTAATACAGGCAGCAATATAGGCAGCAGCACTGTCGATAGTAGTAGCATCATCCAGATCGCAAAGCTCAGGGGAATCGCGCGGCCCATTTCCGTCGCAAGTGGAGCCACTAAGACTCCCCTTTCCACCTCATCCACGTCAGTTTCTGCGTCATCCACGTCATCATCCGCGTCTGTGCCGACCCCCATTGGCATCAGCCCGCATTGGAGCACTTACTGTACGGATCGATGCGGTGTCATGTGGAAGCCAATCCGAGTGTACGTGGTGTGGTACGGTTACTTCTCCGAGTCGCAGAAGCAGCTCGTTCGTACGCTGACAAGGTCGTTCAGTCCGAGCGACGATCCATCCGTTACAGTTCCCCTCTGGTGGAACATCAACCGGCTGTACTACGATCAACAGGGGCGTTTCATCTCGTCGAATGTAACGTGGGTGAAGGAGAAAGATGACACGGGGTACTCCCGAGGGAAGTCCCTGTGGCTGGATGACGTGGAAGCAGTGGTTTCCACGGCCATTAATACGAGCGAGCTGCCTTATGACGAGGATGGAGTGTACTTCGTGCTCTCGGACCAATACGTGACCCAGGTTAGCGAAATGGTGTGTTTGTGTTTATACCCCTTCTCTTTCTTAATCTCGTCGTGTGTGCGTCCCCTGCCTCCTGGTCTCCTCCCTTCTTTCTTTGAAGTCTCTGAAGTTGCAACCTCTCCCCGTTTCTCGCCCTCCCTCTCCTCGCCTTTCGCCCTTCTCGGCCCTCAACGCCCCTCAACGCCCCTCAACGCCCCTCAACCCCTCTCGTATGAAGAAGTGTTTTGAGACGTCTCAAAACCTTCCGGCTTTCTCGCCCCTCAACGCGCCGCAACCCCTCTCCCCTTAACCCCAGCAATGGAGCTCAACAGATAAGCTCTGCGCCACGTTCTAGGGGTTTCACTGCTTCGGTTGCTCCCTTCTTCCTTGAATATCTCACAGCATGCAGGTTTCCCCCCTCCCTCCCTCCCTCCCAATCCAACCCCCTTCCCCCACAGCAATGGAGCTCGAAAGACAAGCTCTGCGCCACGTTCTGCGGGTGGCATATCTTCGGCTCCTCCCTCCCGTTTCCCTTCATGATCTCTCACCATGCAGGTCCCCCCTCGCCCATTCACACATGCCCCCTCCCCCCCTCCCCTTCCCCCAGCAATGGAGCTCAACGGACAAGTTCTGCGCTACGTTCTGCGGGTGGCATTTCTTCGGCTCCACGCCCCTTCACAACCCCCGCTCTTCCCCTCTTCCCCTCTTCCCTCCCCCTCTCTTCCCCTCATCCCTCCCCCCTCCCCTTCCCCGCAGCAATGGAGTTCAACGGACAAGTTCTGCGCCACGTTCTGCGGGTGGCATTTCTTCGGCACGGCGCCCTCCCGCGGCACCTTCATCTACTCCTGGGTCGGCCGTGCTGACCGCCTCGTACGTGCAGGTGGAGGGGGGAAGGGGAGGGAGGGGGGGGTTGTTGGGGGCTGTAGGGGGCATGGGTTGGGGGCATTCGGTTGAATGAATCCCACGGTGCCTTCATCTACGCCTGTTTCGGCCGTCCTTCCTGACCGCCTTGTGCGTGTGGGAGAGGGGGTATCGGGGGCTGGTGGAGTGGTGGGGGGGTGAGGGTTAGTGGGGTGGGGGAGGGGTGTTTCTCGCGCATCTGGTAGCTTCATCTACTCCTGAATCAGCCGTGCTGACCGCCTTGTGCGTGAAGAGGGGGGGGGGGGAAGGGGAGGGGGTACTGGGGGCTGTCTAAGGGTGATGGGGGGATGTGTCCCAACTTGGTGGAGTGTCATAGGGGGTATTGGGAGGACTTACGGAAAACCTGGGGTTTCTGGGGACCTTGGGGTTGAGAAGGAGGGGAAGTGGCGCTTTGTGCTCATGGTGCTCATGGTGCTCATGGTGCTCATGGTGGTCATGGTGCTCATGGTGCTCATGATGCTCATGATGCTCATGATGCTCATGGTGGTCATGGTGCTCATGATGCTCATGATGCTCATGATGCTCGTGGTGCTCGTGGTGCTCGTGGTGCTCATGGTGCTCATGGTGCTCATGGTGCTCATGGTGCTCATGGTGCTCATGGTGCTCATGGTGCTCATGGTGCTCGTGGTGGTCGCCTCCTGTGTCGCTTGTCTCCCTCTGTGCCCTCTGTGCGCGCCCCTCCACCCGTCCAGTGCCCCACGTCGTGCATTGCAAGTGACATCCGCACGGCCAGCAAGGCACCCAACAAGGATGTGGGCATGGATGCGTTACTGTCGGTGTTCGCGCACGAACTGGCAGAGGCCGCCTCGTCGCCGTTCGTGGGAACGTGGTTCGATGAGCAGGGCGAGGAGAATGCGGACAAGTGCGCGTGGAAGTGAGTAGAGGGCGGTGGTGTGAGAGAGATGTATGGATGGTGGGGTGAATGGTGGGGATGGTGCTGAAACGAGATAGTGTGCGTAATTAATCAGAGTTTTAACGGCACCACGTGATCACGTGACCCTTGATCATGTCTTAAAGCCCTCCCTCTTCCTGTCCCTTGCATCGCAGGTTAACCCCATCCTCACGGGTTCCCCAGGAGGCAGATACAACCTGGTCGGAGTCAACAGAAGTCAACAAGAGTCAACGGCTCCAAGCTCCTCGTGCCCGCACCCCCCTCTCCCCACTTTTGCTTGCTTTTCCCCCTCTCCCTGTCCCTTCCCTTCCTGCATCCTGCGCGGCAGGTTCAACCCCATTCTCACCGACTCAACAGGAGGCAAGTACAACCTGGTGGGGGTCAACGGCTTTAAGTTCTTCATTCAGCACAACTGGGATCTCACCACTGGCACCTGCCAGCTCACCATGCCATACCCCCCCGCCCCTCCTCCTCCCCCCTCCCCTCCCTCCCCTCCTCCGCCTCCCTCCCCTCCTCCCTCGCCTCCCTCCCCCCCTCCACCGCCCTCTCCCCCTCCCTCACCCCCACCCCCTCCCCCACCTCCAAGCCCCCCACCTCCCTCTCCTCCTCCCCCCTCACCACCTCCTCCGTCTCCCCCTCCTCCCTCTCCACCCTCTCCCCCTCCCTCCCCTCCTCCTCCCCCCTCGCCCCCGTCGCCCCCACCTTCCCCCCCTCCCCCCCCTCCATCCCCTCGCATGCGCACCCTTCGCCCTCCTCCGCGTCCCCCCAAGAGCATGGGGGAATACGTGCAACAGCTATTCAAGAAACTCTGGCCGAATCGCCCATGGTCAATCAAAGTTGTTCATGATTAAATGTTGTACAGTCTGTATGGTACACCACCTTAAGTGTTGTACAAAAAACACAAGTACCGTAATTGCCCATGTTGTGTTGTTGATAACTATCAGAATCTGGAAACAGGAATGAGAACAGAAGAGTGGGGGTTGTACTAGCATGCAGGTGGAGTACATATAGGAAACCCTAAAAGGGTTGTACTTTTTGTTGAGTACTCTACTACAGCCTACACATCACATTACATTCTGACACACCCTCAATAGGCAAAGTGGGGTATAGTCAACACAAAAAGCAGTCGCATGACTAGGTCATAAGCAAAGGCTAGTGGCAAAATTAGAGGGCAAGAGAGGAGGAGGAGGGACTATGAGAGGAGAGGAGGTAGGAGGCGGCAGCTGAAGCTGCGGGCACACGGGCGACTAGAGCAAGTGGCACACAGGCTACCAGAGCAAGGGCATCCGGACTATTGGAGAAATTGGCTCCGCGGCTAGACGAGCGGCTGGAGCAACTGACCCACGGGCGACTGGAGCAACGGGCTCACGGGCTAGCGGAGCAAGGGCATCAGGACTACTCAAGCTGCAAGCTTCATGACGGCTTTACCACCCTCCCTCTCACCGGTTCTTTGACTCCCGTGACGTCCGTTTCGAGGAGTCCACTCCGTACTACGTCAGGTACCCCAGTCGAGGTCTCCCGGTTCCTCCTCCCCCCCTCTTCCTGACTGCCGTTCCCCCTCCTGCTCCCCCGGTACAGCCTCCCCCCCCTGGTCCAGCCCCGTCAGGTGTGTCCCAGGCTACCTCTCCTCTTGACTCCTCCCCCGCTGTTTTCCCCAGTTCTCCGCCCTTGTCCTCTTCTCCTCCGTCTCGTTCTTGGGCTACTCGTTGCTCCCCTCGTGCTCGTCCCTCGTCTCCTGTTCCCTTCACTGACCTTCGTACTGCCTTCCTTCTTTCTAGTCCACCTCGTCCGTCTCAGTCTGTGCTTCCGTCTCCTCCTGAGTCGGCCCTCACTGTGTCGCTCCCTACTCCTGTCACTGACTACTACCGCATGTACCGTCCTGTTCTCTCTCGTGTTCTCGCCTCTCTTGTTACTCACCCTCGTGTCTCTGTGTCCTCTGTGTCCGCTCTTACTGCCGCGGTTACTGACTTTGCCTCTACCCGCCGCCTTGAGTACGCCACCACGCTTGTGACTGCTCCTCCTACCAGTCCTCTGGTCGTCGGGGGTGTGTCTGCCCTTGGCTGTGACGCCCTAGAGGACAGGCAGTTTAAGCTAGAGTTCCTGGCGGCCGCTTCCCCTCATCTCTGTGCCATGCTCCTCGCCCCTGAGGGTGACCCCGACGCCCTTGACATTCCGACTCCTCGCACTTACGCTGAGGCAGTGTCAGGGCCTTGGGCCTCTCAGTGGAGAGCTGCCATGGACGCAGAGATGGCCTCCTACAGATCCACAGGCACCTACGTCGATGAGGTTCCCCCCCCTGGGGCGAACGTAGTCGACGGCATGTGGATCTACAGGGTGAAGCGGCCACCGGGATCTCCCCCGGTCTTCAAGGCGCGCTACGTGGCTAGAGGTTTCAGTCAGCGCGAGGGAGTTGACTTCTTTCAGACCTTCGCACCTACCCCGAAGATGACCACTCTTCGGGTGTTACTACACGTAGCAGCACAGAGAGACTACGAGTTACACTCTCTTGACTTCTCCACTGCTTTCCTTCAGGGCAGTCTACACGAGGAGGTCTGGTTGCGTCGTCCCTCGGCCTTCACTGGCACTTTCCCTCCTGGGACCCAGTGGAGGCTGAGGCGACCTGTTTACGGTCTTCGCCGGGCCCCTCGTGAGTGGCACGACACTCTGCGTTCTACCCTCTCTGACCTTGGGTTCCAGCCGTCTTCTGCCGACCCGTCGCTGTTCGTTCGTCGTGGCTCCACACCGTTCTTTGTTCTGGTCTACGTCGACGACCTCGTTTTTGCCACTTCGGACAGGGTTGCTTTGGCAGACGTGAAGTCCGAACTGCAGAAGAGACACACGTGCACTGATCTTGGTGAGCTGCGCCACTACCTTGGCCTGCAGATCACCAGGGACAGAGCCGCTCGCACCATTACACTCTCACAGTCACACATGGTGCAGCAGGTCCTTCAGCGGTTCGGGCTTCAGCACTCCACCGTACAGCGCACACCTCTAGCTGTTGACCACAGACTCACTGGTCCCTTTCCTGACGAGCCGTTTGAGCCTAGTGGTCCCTACACAGAGCTTGTGGGTTGCCTCATGTACCTGATGACTTGTACTCGCCCGGACCTCGCCTTCCCTCTCAGCATCCTTGCGCGCTTTGTTGCGCCAGGGAGACACCGTCCTGTTCACTGGACGGCAGCTGTGAGGGTGGCGAAGTACCTAGCGACTACATCAGGCGTGGGGCTAGTTCTTGGAGGGCAGCAGTCTGTCGTACTCACTGGTCACTGTGACTCCTCTTACGCTGACGACGCTGAGACTCACAGGTCTATTCAGGGGTACTGTTTCAGTCTGGGTTCTGGAGCTGTTTCCTGGCGTTCCACGCGCTCCTCTTCTGTCTCGACCTCTACAGCTGAGGCTGAGATTTACGCTGGTGCCATGGCGGCACAGGAGTTGCGGTGGTTGACCTTCTTGCTCGCCGACCTTGGTGAGCGGCCGAGCTCTGCACCGACCTTGTTTACTGACAACAAGGCGTCGATCCTCCTCTGTCGTGAGCCGCGACTGGAGAGCAGAGTGAAGCACATTCACGTCAGGTACTTTCTTCTGCGAGAGTTGCAGAGGCGTGCACAAGCTCGCTTCGAGTTTGTAGAGTCCGAGGCCAACACTGCAGACATCTTCACCAAGGCGCTTCCGCCTTGTGACCACCAGAGGTGTTGTGTGCAGTTAGGCCTTGTTGACACAGGTTCTAGTCATGCGTAGACTTGAGTTTATTGCCTGCTTCGTCTGTACACTTACTATATATACTTGTGATCTCTTGGACTGGCCTTGTGGCCACTGTTGCTTGTGCTCAGAGTGTGTGGTGACGTTGTGATCCACCCTGAGCTTTGTTTTCTTTTGGACTGGTCTTGTGACCGTACTCTTTTTTTTTGTTTTTGCTAGACACCCCTCACTTAGGCTATGGGGGTGTGTCAAATGTTGTAGCCTGTAGTGAAGTTTGTCTTAGGGGGTACAGAAGTTAGGGTTTGTCATATGTACCCCAACCAACATCCATTCCTCATTCTGACATCAACCTCCCCCCATTGTCCCACACCCCCTTCTGCATCCCTAGCACCACTCCCTCAGCTCCCCCACACCCTCCCCCTCTCAGCGGCAGCTGCAGCAGTAGGAGAGAGAGGAGGAGGAGGACCAGCAGATTACTCATACCCGCCACCCCCATACCCTCCCCCTAACGGCTGCACGTGCAGCAGGGAGAGGAAGGAGAAGGGGGGGCGGGGAAGAAGCTGCCCCGCGGCAACAACGGGGCGGCGCGCAGGTGCCACGGGGCGGCGCGTGGGTGTACCGGGGCGGCGCGCGTGTGCAGCGGAGCGGCGCGCGGGTGCCATGGGGCGGCGCACGGGTGCCACGGGGCGGCGCACGGATGTAAGCAAACCGTCGCGCGCCCGGGGCGCGCGACTGAAAGAACAGCAGCGGAAGCGAACGGTGGGCCGATTGAGGAAGGCTCAAAGAAAGAGCCTGCTCTGAATACCATGTCAAAAACTAACGAGCAGGAATGAGAACAGAAGAGTGGGGGTTGTACTACTAGACAGGTGGAGTACATATAGGAAACCTTAAAAAGGTTGTACTCTTTGTTGAGTACCTCACTATAGGCTACACAACACATAACATTCTGTCAATAACATGTGAGGCCATGGGTAGCGCAACATAATATTAGCAAAGAATCAGAAGCTGGTGAAATACTTGTTTAGGGATACGGATGGGACCAAGGCAAGCACTACATGGTCAGGTGATACCCTTACAACCATCCCTAACCCATACACCCTCCCCATCACCCTGTCCCGCCACCCTTTCAGTACCATACACGTCAAATCTCCGTTAACGATTGTTCAAAAGAAACTCTTTTTGCAACCAATGTCAAAAGTCCACTGGTGATCCCCGATTGATCATAGGGAAGGGTTACAGGCACGTTGGCAAGGGGGGTTAAGGACGCACTCACCTACTACACAAACAAGCTCTTTTATCCCAATGGTTGTGGCTGAGATTCTGACAACCAGTACAAGACAGCAATGTAAAACTTTTCTTTCTTTTTTTGTTATCCTCTCTTTTCTCTCAGAGCTCCACTCGACTCAACATGGATAAACGTAAGGCCAAGCTGGGTATACATGATACATGCAACGGCGGCAGGGGCAAAAACACTGCTGACTAGCCCTGCCGGTACAGACACGGGCACGCAGACAGCACCGGCAACAACCCCCTCCATTCACAACGATAGCCCCATCAGGCAGGGACAACCCTCCATCTATCCCGTCTAGCAGACCAGGACCCAGGTAGATGGGGGTTGTCATGCAATGCGATCCCCCCCACCCACCCCACCGCACGCACCCCCCCATTCCCCTCCCCCCCACACCCCTCATCGCTTCCCTCTCCCCCATATTTTTCTCCATATCTTTTCCAGATTTGATTGCGGCGGGGGGGATTTAGGCGGAGGGGGGGACTTGGGCGGCGGGGGAGGGGACGCCGGCGAAGGGTAGGGGAGAGTGGTGGCGCAGGTACCAGTGGTGAGGTCCCAATTCTGTTGAATGAGGAACTTAAAGCCGTTGACCCCCACCAGGTTGTACCTAACACCAGAGGCGTCAGTGAGAATGGGGGCGAACCTGCAGTGGAAGAGGCAGAGAGGGACAGAAAGAGTGGTGCGGGACTGGGCAACCTGTGAGGATGGGGGGAACCTGTGAGGATGGGGGGAACCTGTGAGGATGGGGATGAACCTGTAAAAGAGGATTGCAAACCACGGGGGAAAGGGGTGGAAGCAAGTCTTTAGGATGCACCAAACATTCGTGAGAAACAGTTAAGCACGCACACAGATGAAGACAAAACAGCAAGGCTACTCACTCTCCCCAACCACCCCCTTTCCCCACTCACTGCCAGGAACATTTGTCGGCGTTCTCCTCACCGGCGACATCAAACCACGTGGCAATGAACGAGCTTGAAGTCGCCTCTGCCAGCGCATGTGCGAATACGATGCACCACAACGCACGTTCATGAAAAACAATCGACCACTCACACCTGCCAGTCACTCCCACCCGCCCACTCACTGCCACGAGCACTTGTCGGCGTTCTCCTGCCCACTCCCATCGAACCACGTGGCAATGAACGGGCTCGACGTGGCCTCTGCCAGCTCATGTGCGAATACCGACAGCAGCCCATCCATCCCCGCGTCCTGATTGGGCGGCACCGCCCCGCTGGCACGCAGTGTTCGCGTGATGCAAGACCTGGGGCATAATTTTGCAGCGTTACCGACCCAGGAGTACACTATGCTGCCGAAGCTGGAGGCTCGGCCGTGCCAGTGCCACCCGCAGAAGCTAGAGCAGAATGCTGGTTTGCTGCCGCCCGGCATATCCCACGCCTGGGATACGGTTTCATCCGAAAGCACGAAGTACACTCCGTCTTCGTTATAAGGAAGCTGATTGGAGGAGATTGCGTTGGTGATGAGGTTCCTGACGTCAGCATCGGAAAGAGCCTTGCCTCGGGAATAGTTTGCATCCTCGACCTCGCCACCCCATGTAACGGACTCGGAGATGTGGTTACCACTTGAGTCGTAGTACAGACGGTTGATGTTCCACCAGAGGGGAACTGCATGGAGCGAGGGCGAGGAGAGAAGAGCAAGGGGAAGGATGGGGGATTGGAAGAGGAAAGAGGGGCGAGAAGCGAGGGGAACAGGCTGGTTCAGGAACTAAGAAGAGGGCCTCAACCTCTTGCAATTCCTGTCATTGCTTGGTTACAACGAGGGGCCAACACCTGTCAGTGCTTGCAACGAGGGGACAGCACCTGTGACGGATGGGTCGGCGTTCGGGCTGAGCGACGCGGTGAACGCGCGGACCATCTGCTTCTGCGCTTCGGAGAACGCGCCGTACCACACGACGTACACGCTGATTGGCCGCTCCATCACCCCGCAGGCGCGCCCCATGCAACTCGCGCTCCAGTGCGGGGAGATTCCGATCGGCCCCTTCCTCCCCTTCCCCGCAGTCACCGCCTTTCTCCCGCCCCCCGTCGCCCCGCTGGTGCTCAGCGGGCCGACTGTGGCGGAGAAAGGGGCGGGGGGCGTCGTCGCGTCATTCGCGTCGCTGTACAGGCGGGATGGATTATGGTTCGGGAGGGGTATAGACGCGAATGGGGCGCATAATTTACGCAAAAAACTCGCTTTTCCAGCAAAAATTGTCACGAAATCTTGCAATAGTATCTATCTAGTCCTGACTGCGGCGTACCCAGGGATGATTGTGATTATCCAGGCAAGCAAAGAAAAGCATTCAGTGTGATTATCTCTCAACCCAGGAATCGCCTGCGGCGCACCTGAGAATCGCGGCGATGCCGCTTGGAAAGGCGGTTGCGGCTGCGCCAGGGGTCGTCATGGTCGCGACCTTGGGATTACCGATGGGCGGCGTTCCCTGCTGGAGGCGAATCAGCGATCGCGATGCCCGCGTGCGACTGCCACGCGGCGACTCCTGCGACTCTGGGCGATTGGTCCTGATCGGTCGCAAGAACACTGGCTTATCGTCGCCGGAAAGCTCCTTCGCGCGAGCGTACGCCGACGCGAATCGCTCTCGGCCAAGCGGAGGAGCTTCCGCCCGAGGCGCTAAATGCCTGCGGGCCGGTGTATGGCTGCTAATTCGTTGGCTGGCGGTTAGCGGAGCGCGTGAGGCGGCAAGAAGCGCGGCGACGAACAGCCAGGTTGGTAGTACTAGAATATTGTGATGGCGGAACAAGGCGGAGATCGTTGGCTGGTGAGTCGAGCGGCGCCATGGAACAGCCATGGCGACTACGGTGTGCGCGGCGTTCTGCGGAGGCATTCGGAGTTCGATTAGAAGCAGAACGAAGCGCGACGAAAGAAACTGCTGCAGTCACAGCGGCAGCAGTGGCGCTTTTGGAGAGCGGCGGAGAGCTCACCACCACCACCATGCCCAAAGGTGCAGATTGCACTAGGGGTAGGTGCATATAGCTAAGCAAGGGACATGGTTCTCTTGCTGACCTAGATTTCCTCAACGCCTAAATCACGTCATCACTATGTCGACACTGTACAGACATACGCCAATCTGTCAAGCGTGGCTGTGGTTCCATCTTGGCTGCCAACAGAGCGACTGAGATGAGTTGGTTCTTTTGTGGTTGATGGTGCAGGAGCACGAAGGGAGGGACGGGGGTGTGTGTGTGTCGCGTCGCGATGGTCGTCGGTCGACTCGCAGAAGCTGGGCATGGACGGTCTGGGGGGGTGCGGCAAGTGAGAGAGGAGCAAATGTGTGGTGGAAAATGGGTTGCTCTTTTCTTCCACCTTCCCTTCTATGATTCCACTCTCGAACATTTTTGGTAGCGTTCAGTAAAAACAAACTTTTTCACGCTACTCAGCTAAAACACGCGCAGCTCTTGGCGCTAGGCTCCTTGGAAGTGTACTTCCGCCTTCTTCAAAACCACCTTCGGCAAATTGACGGGAAGGGTGAGTACCCATCATTCCATAGTGCAGAGATATGAACCTGTGGTGCGGCGTGCGCTCCAATCAATTTTGGGTGAGGTTCCAGTTCAGTCGGGGCGGGGGAAGGCTGGGGGGGAGGGGGGGAGGGACAGTCAGTCATCAGTCAGTCAGCCAGGGAAGGGATTCCTCGAGTGTCAATCGACGGGACCCATAAGGGCGTGTCTCCGTTTTGACCCCGACGGTTCGAGCCGTGGACGGTCCGAAATGCGAAAAGGTTACCAAAGTCGCATAGTTTCGTGACTTAGTTCGAGAAAGTGTGTGCGACGTCGCCAACAACCGTCGCGTCACTCTTTACTCCTTTCAACGGTTCAGAATCTGAACCCTTGACAGTTCGGAAACCAAACGGACGGTGCAGCAGTACTAACTAGAGATTGGCGCGCGATTTTTTCAGAAAATATAAATATGATTGGCTACAGTGTAACGAACGACGCTACAGTGTCTCCAGCGAAACTACAGTACTTCGGGAAATTCAAAACACTGAAAAAGGTGACAGTCTTGCACTCAGACGGGGCAAAGTTCCGAATGGCAACTCGGACAGTCCGGTTTTCGCTATTCGGACCGTCGGGTACAAAAAAAAGTGAACCGTCCGGAAAATTGCCAAAAATTAATTAAAAAAAGACACGCCATAACTACTGTACAGTACACGTACACTGTTGGCGCCAGGGGAAAAAAAAAGCCAGTTGTTGGGATGTCCTGCGTGGGATGGGCCATACTCCTTGCCTTCGCTCGGTTTGGCTGGCAGCAGTTTCGCAAATCTTTCGCATCCAGTGGATAAGGTGATGGGGTTGGGCATGGCCTGTCTTCATCATTGAGAACCGTTAGCAGGATAGAGACTGCAAGTCACTGCAGTAGTATGTGCACTCCATAACACCAACGGTCTCGACGATTACGAACAAACCACTCATCGCTTCATAATTGATGAAATTTGAAGTATCAGTAGCCTAATATGAAGAAACGAAACACTTCTCACAAAGGATACTTTGCACCAAGTCAACTTCCTTTTGTCCTCTTGATCACCTTTTTGCCCCCTGCCTGTTCGAGTCGAGAATCGAACGGCAGCTTTGCTCCCTTTCTCCAGTCGCGGAAAATCCACGGTGGCAACGACACCAGCACGCAGGCAGCAGCACTGGCAACTTCAAGGCTTGCTGTTGCGGCAAGCTCCAGGTTGATTCATCGGAATCTGAGATCTCTACTCGTCCGTCCATCGATCAAGCAGGGGAGATCCCATCCCAAGCTTGTGTTTGTTGCTATGGAGCCAAAGCATCACATCACTCTTCGAAAAGCAGCCTTTCCTATAAATCAACGGTCCCAGTAGTTCTAATCACTAAAGCAGCAGTTTCTCTCATTGCAGTAGTTCCTCTCATAGCGTGCGTCGTTAGGATCGATCACAGGCAGCCCAAATGGCAGCACATTGGCCCGCCGCTCTCATTCTGCTGCTCGCCATCGTCAGCGCGGACGTTACAACCAGCGCACCTGTCGCCAATTCAGCGATTTTTGATGTCTCTCCGGCGATTCAGCCTGCCGCCGTTCCTGCCGTACGAGACGCCGCCTTGACCGCCGCGAATATCGGTCGCAAGGGTGGCAGCGGCATTGCCGGCATTTCCGCAGCCGCCGCCGGCGGAAACGGCGGCGCGGTCTTCGTTGAGAGGAGCAACGCCGCGTGGCCGTTTGCATGGGGTCGCAATGCGAGCGACGGCAGCGGCGAAAGCTACGACGCGGGCGACGATACCAGAGATGTGATCAGCGAGTTTGGCGCCATGGCGTGTAGCGCTGCGGGCTTGCTTCGCTCCGAGCGTGCAGGTTCCGCCAGAACCGCTGCTTTAGGATTCGCCGATCAAGCTTATTTTTCCAATGAAAGTGCTGCAGCTGCTTCTGCTGCCAATGCTCCCACCAATGGCGATGCTGCTGGTAGTGGCAAGAGCGGCGGATACACGGAGCCGAAGGACCATCGGACGGAGCTGCGGTGGGACGTGTACAGCATCAGCGGCCTCATTCTCACAGCATGCGTGAGCCACTAACGCGTATGAGCCCCCTTGTGGGCGCGGTGCGACGTGATCGATATGCGATCGGATCTTCCCCTCTTTCCGGACCTCGTTTCCTGTCCAAATTCGTCCCTCAATTCTCCTTTCCTCCCCCCTTTCCCCCACTCCCCCCGCTCGTGCACTCCCTCCTGCGTGCTTCTCCGATCCTCATTTTTAACCCCTACATCCTCTCCCGCAATTCTCCCCCTATCCTCCGCCATCTCCCGCCTCCTCCACCCCCTCTCCCCCCGCGGCAGTGCGCGCTGCTGGCGAACGCGGCGGGGATAGGCGGGGGGCCGTTCTACATGCCGCTCTTCAACTCCTTCCTCGGCTTCACCGCCAACGCCGCCACCGGCCTCTCGCACACCATGGTCGCCTCCAGGTGCCGTGCTCCGCTATAGTCACGCATCGTTATTGTCACACTATGGTATAGCCTCCAGGTGACGTATAGCGCTTATCGTTATAGTCACACAAGGTTCGCCTCCAGGTGCCATGTTCCGCATACAATGTACCTTCATAGTCACGTCATGTCTGCATTATAGCGTCACGGTCACGCCCCAGTCGCCTTCAGTGCCGTGTTAAGACCTGCCTGCATCCACCCATCACTCTGCGCCATCCTCTGTCACCCACGCCACGCCCCAGTCAACCCCCTCCCCCCTCCCCCCTCCCCCCTCCCCCTCCCCCTCCCCCTCCCCCCACACACAGTGGCGTGGCGAGCACGTTTTACGGGCTGATTCAGAGCAGCCCCGCGGACCCATCACAGCCGTTGATCGACCTGCGCCTGGCGCTCACCTTCACGCCCGCGCTGCTGCTGGGCGTCAGCTGCGGCGTGCTGCTCAACCCGCTCCTCCCGCCCTGGCTCCAGGTGCCGCCCTTCCCCTTGCTGCTTCTGCTGCTGCTGCTGCTACTGAAAGGTGCGGCCTGTGCTGCTGCCGCTGGTGCTAGGTGATGGGTGACAGGTGCTGCCCGCGCTGCTGCTGGGCGTCAGCTGCGGCGTGCTGCTCAACCCGCTCCTGCCGCCCTGGCTCCAGGTGCTGCCGAGTGCCATACAACAGGGAGATCAGTAATTCTGGCGTGGGCTATTTTTGCTCACAGAAACTGTTTTGTAGGGCTTGCTACCACAATGCAGCCCTGGAACTGAATAAAGAAGAAATAGCCCATCGCTTGGCAAGGGTCTCCTGGTCGCGTCACACCTCAAGTCCCCGAACCTCTTCCCCTTCCCCTTCCCTTCTCCCCACTCCCACTCTCTCTCCCTTCTCTCTCCCCTCCGTTCCCTCCCTGGTCCACAGACATCCCTACTGGCGGTGCTGCTGGGGTACGTGGCGAGGGAGACAGGCATCAAGGCGAGCAAGGCGTGGGAAAAGGAGACGCAAGCCGCCACTGCCAGGCCTAACCAGCAGCAGCAGCACCCTTCCACCGCCTCCGCTTCCTCTATCAACACACCTCTTCTTTCACAGTCAGCAGCAGCAGCAGCACCTGCTCCCTCCTCTTCTGCCCCCTCCTCCTCCGTCCCCGCCCACGCCCCTTCCAAGCGGCGCTGGTTGGACCCGTCCAGTGGATCTGGGCGGCTGACTGACTTTGTGGCTCACACTGCCGCCCAGCTTCTGCCACTTGTGGGCCTTGGCGGTATGTGGTGGTGGGTGATGGGCAGGCGGCATGTGGGTGGGGGGCATAACCTGACATCCATGTCAGGTGGCTTGTGATCCATATCCATGCCATACCCGTAAGCCACGCTGGTGATTTTTCCGAGAATCCCTGCCCACCCGTTTTCCATCGCCCTTTGGCCCTGTCTCCGCCAACCCCCCCCTCCAGTGCTGTGGGTGGCAATGATGGCTCTCGAGCGGGGCCTGGCCGGCACCACCCGGTGCAGCCGCCCGTTCTTCCTCTACTGGGCGGCACAAACGCTTCTGTGCTTCGCTGCCACTGCTGCCATGGTGGCCTATCAGGTAACGCCACGTGCTCCCCTCGCCTATCAGGTAATGCCACGTGCTCCCCTCCCCTTCGCTCCGCAACCCCTTCCCTAGAAAACAACCAACCCCTTTCCCCCAGCTTCCGTACCTTTTTCGAGGTTCAGGCATCCACCAATCAGCCATCTCGCCTGGGCCCCCTCTCCCTCCTCCCGAACCCTCTCCCCTTTCTCTCCCCCTCCCCTTCTCTCTCCTCCTCTCAGGTTCGGGCGGCGTCCACCAATCCAGACGCAGAGGGGGCGTCAGCACTCTCACGGGTGCTCATGGCGGGGCAGGCAGAGGAGGACGGGGCAGGCGATGATGAAGTCTTGGAGGCCCGGAGAAAACGGGCTGCCCGGAAAATATTTAAGGTCAGCGCACGGGTAGTGTCGCGTACTCTCCTCCCGCACATGGCTCCTGCACCTCTTGCTTGTTCATCTGTTCATCCGTCCTGCACAAGCCAATTATCCTTCCTGATCATTCTGCTCATGCTGCTAGTACAGGCTCTGTGTTACTCGCTGCACTCACAGCCTATGCAGCGTCCTGCAGGTCGCAGCTCTTGCTGTTGTTGATCATGTGCTCGTCTCCCCTCCCCAATGTGGCACGTGCTTGTGTGGTGGTGGCAGGTGGTGGGGGTGATGGTGGTGGCGGGAGTGATGGCGGGGGTGTTGGGCATTGGAGGCGCACCGCTCTTCAATCCCTTCATGCTCACCCTTGGCATTCCGCCCCAGGTACCACCACGTGATGTTTCTCCAGGTACCACCAAGCGATGTTGCTCCAGGTACCGCCGACCTATGCTGCCCCCCAGGTATTGCTGAACGACGCTGCCCCAGGTACTGCCAAATTCTTTTGCCCCAAGTACTGCCGAATAAATCCGCCCCAGGGATTTCTGAATGATTATGGCCCAAGTAAGTCTTTCACGACCACGCAAACCCCACTCCTTCTCACTTCCCACACGTCCCCCCTTCACCCTCCCTCCAGATCACAGCATCAACGTGCGTGATGATGGTGCTATTCGGAAGTGGTCGTGAAGGACTTGTGCAACCGTCTTGTGCCGCTGACCCTCAGTAATGATGGCACCATGCCACTGCACCAACTGTCTTGTGCCGCTGACCCTACTCCCTCTCACTTCCCCACTTCTCTTCCCCTAAACCCAAACCCGTGTGCCCACCCGCCCTTTTCCTCCCAATCTCCTCCAGAGCACAGCATCAACGTCAGTGATGATGGCACCATGCCACTGCACCAACCGTCTTGTGCCGCTGACCCCACTCCCTCTCACTACCCCCTCCCTCTCACTACCCCCTCCCTCTCACTTCCCCCTCCCTCCTTCCAGATAACAGCATCAACGTCAGTGATGATGGTGCTGTTTGGCAGCAGCAGTGTCTCCCTCTCCTTCCTCTTCCTGCACCGCCTCAACCTCGCCTATGCTGCCATCTTCGCCCCCACCGCATTCATCGCCTCCCTCCTGGGAGTCACAATCGTGGGCCGAATAGTCAAGAGCACCGGCCGTGCTTCGATCATCATCTTCATCCTCACCGCAATCATTGTGGTGGGGACCACGCTGACTGTGGTGCTGGGCGCGCCAAGGATTTTCGACGATGTGATGCATGGCAGGAACCTCTGGTTCCACTCGCTCTGCCCTGCCAAGAAATGCTTATGAATGACTCGTGCTGGGCTGATAAACTCTCTCCGTTGCTCAAAGGTTCTCTCCAATTCCCTTGTACTGTAGTTTCTCTTCCACATGCTGATGCCAGAGCTCCCAAATGCTGATAAAAGCTTTTTTCAGAAGATGCTCTCCAGTTGCTGCTAGATGCTCTCCCAGCCGCTACCAAACTGAAGCAAGCTCTCAATCAGCCTGCGGAGGTGGAACAGGCTGGATTAGGATGTGGGGAATAGACGGCACAACACAGGCCGTGAGACAGCCTGCCTTACGCACGCAGGGAAGCACTATCGCAGGAGCACAGGGCAGCCGTCGCATTGTGCTCCCACAGGAGAGCTAGTTCAAGTCTGTCTGACCTGGAGATAGGGCCAACCATTCCTTGCCCCAGCGAGGCATGGATTCAGATTCAGAGACAATGTGACGTGTAATGAGCGCACTTGTGCTGCGGAATGGAAACTGCACAGTGCACACACACATGTACTAGCGTCAGTACAAAGAGGGTCGGGATCTACAGGAGCAGGTGGTCTACTAAGGTACGGACCTGCAATGACAGCTGAGCTGATATATACCGTACTAGGTGTCCTCTTTCCTAAAGCAATGGCCACCATTGCGTTACTCCCCTCCCCTACACTAGATCCCATGATCCCATTGCACCGGCTCCCACTGCAATGACCCTCATGGCCCCATCACCCCACCAGCATCACCACATGATGGATTGCTGAGACATCGAGGTTGCACGGGCCACAAGAGTTGACGCTTGCCGCCCGTGCAGATAGGTTGAGAGATCGATGGGCAGAAGCAGGTGGCCATCAAAGATCATATTCACTCCGGGGTACGCCGGGCGGGAGAGATCGTCCTCTTCCTCCTCTGATGTGAAGCTTGGATCGCGATTTGATTGCGCATAGGGGTCCTGGGGATCATCTTGAGTGGCTGCAAAGCTGGGCAGTGGAGGGAGGGCGTAAGAGCAAGAGAAAAAGTGAAAGTTAGGAAAAACGAAGCAAAAAAGGAAGAGTGAGACGGTGAGTGGAACAAGGGGATCAACTTCCATTGTTGGGTCCCTTTCCTGAGGGGCATGGAAATCACATAAACCACCTATACCTGGGAGCTTGGTTCTCGGGCAGGTACCAAAACTCTGAAAAGTTTCGGCTCAGCCGGTGCTTCTGCCCCATCCTCCCCCTCCTGTCCCCCGCCCTCCTCCCCCCTCCCTTCTCCGCATCCACTGCTGCCACTGCCGCCGCAATCACCCCCCCAATCTCCCCTCTCCTCCCTCCTCCCCGCCCCCCACCCCTCTCCCCTGCTCCCCTCCCCGACGGCGACGGCGGCACGTGCCTGACAGTCCGTCTGGGAAGCAGCACCGAGAAGGGAGACGCAGCAGCAGTGGAGGCGGCGAAAGAAGCAGACCAACGTCTAGAGGTGGACCGCAGGAGAGCCACATTCCCGGTGTAGACAGCCCGGGAGACAGGTCCGTGCTGGCGGTAGTCAGAAATGAACTCCCGGAGGGCGGAGCGCAGGGAAAGGGTGGAGCGGCGCTGCGAGGCGAGCTGTGGCGGGGTGAGCATGCTGTGAGCGACCACGGCGTCGCACACCTGGCAGCACAGCTGCGTGTCGAAGAGGGGGATGCCGAACTCTACGCTGTGTGCCACCCACTCCCCCTGCTGCCGCTGCTGCTGCTGCGTCTGTGAGAGTCCCCCGGCGCCTACTGCTGCCCCGTCTCCTTCACTGACGTCTATTCTCAAGCTCCCTTTTCCACTGGCCGTGCCAGTGCCAGCAGCACCCCCACCTTCTTCATCCTCCTCGTCCTCGTCCTCGTCCTCGTCCTCGTCCTCGTCCTCGTCCTCGTCCTCGTCCTCGTCCTCCCCTGCCTCTGTTCGGATGACTCTAACGAACCCCACAGCATCCACAGCCAGCACCTCTGCTGCTCGCCTGGCTGCTGCCACAATTGGCGACTCCTCCTCCTCCCTCTGCTGCCCCGCTCCCTGCACCACTGCCCCTGCGCCATCACCGCCATCACCACCAGTGCTATCACTTACCCCCTCGCCCTCAACTCCCTCACTCCTGCGTCCCTCGTCGCCTCCTGCTGCACCACCCACCGCTTCCCCAGCAGTTTCAGTACCCCCCAGCCTCGTCCTGCCTAATGATCTCCCCCCTCCCTGCGGCTTCTGCGGCTGTGACAACGCCCCATCAGCTGCTCGAGCCTCACTGGGGTCAGGCCGAGAGCAAGGGGGCAGAGGGAGAGCAACCGTGGCAATATCCGGCTCCCCTTCCTCAGTGAGACACCCCACGCCCTCCCCCACCCCCTCCACTGCCCCATCCGCACCCCACAACCCTCCCTCCGCTCCCCCTCCCCCTCCCCCTGCTGCTCTCACAGCTGAGTTCGACCCAGTGCGGGAGAAACCAGGAGCAGGAGCAGGCGGGGCGGCCAGAGGCTGGATCATCACAGCAGAGTGCCTCAGCAAGCTGTTCACCACATGCAGCAGCACGGTCCCAGGCACCAGCGACCCTTCACTCTTCGCCCCCACTCCCCCGACCCCCATCCCATCCCACGTCCACACCAACGCCTTGTCACACGTCACCAGCGGCGGCGGCAGCAACCTCAGCCTCAGCCCCCTCATCAGCACCACAGAAACCGGACCAGAGGCCGTTTTCGCGTAGAGGAACAGCTTTGCCCAAGGGGAGAGGAAGGCGGGGGCGGGTGGGCCGAAGTGGGCGGGGCCGGAGCCGTCAGGGACGACTGCGTTGAGGGGCTTGGGGAGGGGGACGATGGAGACGACGAGGTCAAAGTCGCGGCGCAAGAGACGGTGCAGCGTGGCGGGTGCTAGGCCCTGTAGGCTCTCTGTTCGCAGCACTTCCACCCGGTTGAACGTGGCTCGGTTAGACATTGCTGCTGCTGCTGAGGAAGATGAGGATGATGGTGGTAATGGTGGTAATGTGGCTGCAGCGGGAGGGGGCGGGGCAGCAGGAGAAGAGGAGCCGTCATCGTCGCCTGCGTCTGCTGCTGCCAGTGCCGGGTACGACGCAGCCCGTGGGTGCAGCGGCTTCTCCTGCAGCCGAGACCCCTCCGAGCCTGCCGCACTGCTGCCTGAAACACCATCAGGTGCGGTTGCAGAGTCGGCATGTGAAGAGGTGGGTTGCGATGCGCTGACAGAGTCAGGGAGGGACTGGGAGGAGGAGGAGGCGACGAGGTGGGAGGGGATGGGGAGGGGGAGGTCTGAGGGGCCGACAGTAGAGGCAGAGTCAGCCACACTGCGCGTGGACCAGGTGTCATCCGGGGCAGGCGCATCTGCAGCAGCAGCCCCCACAGCCGCCCCCTGTGCAGATTCCGAAGAGCCTGGAGGGTCACTGGCAGCACTGGGCTGACTAGAGGGTGAAGAGCGAGGGGCAGGGTGGGGCGGTGCGATAGCTGCTGCAGTGGCGGCGGCGGCAGCAGAAGAAGCAGGGCGGGGGGTGAGGAGGGCGGAGGTGATGTCAATGGTGCCGGTGCGGAGGCAGGAGAGGGCGTATCGGAGGCTGAAGGCATGGTCCGTGAACTTCTGCAGCTCGCCCTCCAGCTGTGTCTTCTCCACCGCTCGCAGCTCCCCACACAGCTCTGCTACACTGCGCTCTGAGAGTTTTCCTGCTTCAAACAGAGTCACCGCGTGCTGCTTTAGTTCTGAGAGGGATGTGGGGAAGCAGGGGATACGTGGGGGACAGAAGAGGAGAGGCTGAAGGCGTGGTCATTGAACTTCTGCAACTCGCCCTCCAGCTGTGTCTCCTCCACGGCCCTCAGCTCCCCACACAGCTCCGCCACACTCCTTTCTGACAGCTTGCCTGCTTCAAACAGAGTCACTGCGTGTTGCTTCAGCTCTGTGGGGGACGTGGACAGTCGGCATGAAAGGGCGGGGGGGAGGAGTGAGAGGGGGAGAGCAGGGGATGAAGGGAAGAGGAGAAGGTGACAGGCCGGGCAATGAATAAAAGGGTTCAGCATCAGTGCAGCTCGCCCTCCAGCTGTGTCTTGTCTTCTCCACCGCTCTCAGCTCCCCACACAGCTCTGCCTTTGAGTCGACTCAAAAGCATCAGTGCAGCTCGCCCTCCAGCTGTGTCTTGTCTTCTCCACCGCTCTCAGCTCCCCACACAGCTCTGCCTTTGAGTCGACTCAAAAGCATCAGTGCAGCTCGCCCTCCAGCTGTGTCTTGTCTTCTCCACCGCTCTCAGCTCCCCACACAGCTCTGCCTTTGAGTCGACTCAAAAGCATCAGTGCAGCTCGCCCTCCAGCTGTGTCTTGTCTTCTCCACCGCTCTCAGCTCCCCACACAGCTCTGCCTTTGAGTCGACTCAAAAGCATCAGTGCAGCTCGCCCTCCAGCTGTGTCTTGTCTTCTCCACCGCTCTCAGCTCCCCACACAGCTCTGCCTTTGAGTCGACTCAAAAGCATCAGTGCAGCTCGCCCTCCAGCTGTGTCTTGTCTTCTCCACCGCTCTCAGCTCCCCACACAGCTCTGCCTTTGAGTCGACTCAAAAGCATCAGTGCAGCTCGCCCTCCAGCTGTGTCTTGTCTTCTCCACCGCTCTCAGCTCCCCACACAGCTCTGCCTTTGAGTCGACTCAAAAGCATCAGTGCAGCTCGCCCTCCAGCTGTGTCTTGTCTTCTCCACCGCTCTCAGCTCCCCACACAGCTCTGCCTTTGAGTCGACTCAAAAGCATCAGTGCAGCTCGCCCTCCAGCTGTGTCTTGTCTTCTCCACCGCTCTCAGCTCCCCACACAGCTCTGCCTTTGAGTCGACTCAAAAGCATCAGTGCAGCTCGCCCTCCAGCTGTGTCTTGTCTTCTCCACCGCTCTCAGCTCCCCACACAGCTCTGCCTTTGAGTCGACTCAAAAGCATCAGTGCAGCTCGCCCTCCAGCTGTGTCTTGTCTTCTCCACCGCTCTCAGCTCCCCACACAGCTCTGCCTTTGAGTCGACTCAAAAGCATCAGTGCAGCTCGCCCTCCAGCTGTGTCTTGTCTTCTCCACCGCTCTCAGCTCCCCACACAGCTCTGCCTTTGAGTCGACTCAAAAGCATCAGTGCAGCTCGCCCTCCAGCTGTGTCTTGTCTTCTCCACCGCTCTCAGCTCCCCACACAGCTCTGCCTTTGAGTCGACTCAAAAGCATCAGTGCAGCTCGCCCTCCAGCTGTGTCTTGTCTTCTCCACCGCTCTCAGCTCCCCACACAGCTCTGCCTTTGAGTCGACTCAAAAGCATCAGTGCAGCTCGCCCTCCAGCTGTGTCTTGTCTTCTCCACCGCTCTCAGCTCCCCACACAGCTCTGCCTTTGAGTCGACTCAAAAGCATCAGTGCAGCTCGCCCTCCAGCTGTGTCTTGTCTTCTCCACCGCTCTCAGCTCCCCACACAGCTCTGCCTTTGAGTCGACTCAAAAGCATCAGTGCAGCTCGCCCTCCAGCTGTGTCTTGTCTTCTCCACCGCTCTCAGCTCCCCACACAGCTCTGCCTTTGAGTCGACTCAAAAGCATCAGTGCAGCTCGCCCTCCAGCTGTGTCTTGTCTTCTCCACCGCTCTCAGCTCCCCACACAGCTCTGCCTTTGAGTCGACTCAAAAGCATCACTGCAGCTCGCCCTCCAGCTGTGTCTTGTCTTCTCCACCGCTCTCAGCTCCCCACACAGCTCTGCCTTTGAGTCGACTCAAAAGCATCAGTGCAGCTCGCCCTCCAGCTGTGTCTTGTCTTCTCCACCGCTCTCAGCTCCCCACACAGCTCTGCCTTTGAGTCGACTCAAAAGCATCAGTGCAGCTCGCCCTCCAGCTGTGTCTTGTCTTCTCCACCGCTCTCAGCTCCCCACACAGCTCTGCCTTTGAGTCGACTCAAAAGCATCAGTGCAGCTCGCCCTCCAGCTGTGTCTTGTCTTCTCCACCGCTCTCAGCTCCCCACACAGCTCTGCCTTTGAGTCGACTCAAAAGCATCAGTGCAGCTCGCCCTCCAGCTGTGTCTTGTCTTCTCCACCGCTCTCAGCTCCCCACACAGCTCTGCCTTTGAGTCGACTCAAAAGCATCACTGCAGCTCGCCCTCCAGCTGTGTCTTGTCTTCTCCACCGCTCTCAGCTCCCCACACAGCTCTGCCTTTGAGTCGACTCAAAAGCATCAGTGCAGCTCGCCCTCCAGCTGTGTCTTGTCTTCTCCACCGCTCTCAGCTCCCCACACAGCTCTGCCTTTGAGTCGACTCAAAAGCATCTGTGCAGCTCGCCCTCCAGCTGTGTCTTGTCTTCTCCACCGCTCTCAGCTCCCCACACAGCTCTGCCTTTGAGTCGACTCAAAAGCATCGGTGCAGCTCGCCCTCCAGCTGTGTCTTGTCTTCTCCACCGCTCTCAGCTCCCCACACAGCTCTGCCTTTGAGTCGACTCAAAAGCATCAGTGCAGCTCGCCCTCCAGCTGTGTCTTGTCTTCTCCACCGCTCTCAGCTCCCCACACAGCTCTGCCTTTGAGTCGAGTCAAAAGCATCTCTGCAGCTCGCCCTCCAGCTGTGTCTTGTCTTCTCCACCGCTCTCAGCTCCCCACACAGCTCTGCCTTTGAGTCGACTCAAAAGCATCTGTGCAGCTCGCCCTCCAGCTGTGTCTTGTCTTCTCCACCGCTCTCAGCTCCCCACACAGCTCTGCCACACTCCTTTCTGACAGCTTTCCCCCCTCAAACAGCGTCACTGCATGCTGCTTCAGCTCTGAGAGGGGCAGGGGCACAAGGGAGGGGTAGGGAAGCGGGGTCCTGCCGAGAGAGGAAGAAGGGAACGGGAAGGGTTTGGGAAGAGACGTTTGATTTGCACGTCGCCCTCACACCCACTAGGGAACCCTTGGCACCCACACGCTCTGTTTCTGCTCCAGCTCTGGGCGAATGGAGGTTGGACGTTGGCGGAGGGGGTTGAAGCCCAACATATGCAAAGGAGAAAGGCAAAAGGCGGTGCCTCACCATAGGAGAAGGAGCCCATCATGAGGAAGGACGGACGTGAGGTTGGCATCCACCATGAGCGCCTTTTGAGGCACCTCAGAGCTCTCGCCTCACTAAGTATAGGGACTATAGGAGAAAAGAGACAGGGCATGTGTGCCTCACCGTACGAAAAGGAGCCCATCATGAGGAAGGACGTGAGGTTGGCGTCCACCATGAGCGCTATCCTCAACCGATCCGCCCCCCCGCCCTCCCCCCACCCCACCGACTCCATCTTCTTCCACCCCACTACCTGCCCGCCCCCCACTCCCTCCAACCCCCCCTCCCCTCCCCCCATCCCCGCACCCAACCCCCCGTCTCCAGCACCGAACCCCTCAGTGCCGAGGCCCCCATCGCTGGTGTCCGCGTCCCCCCCCATGTCCATGTGGTCCAGGAGCGAGTGCAGGTCCAGGACCTTCTCCGCCCACCCCAGGCGGCATGCGAGGGAGATGGCGGCTCCTAGCTGCCGCACGTCTGCTTGGAGGGTGAGTGCCATCTCGTGCACTGTTGCCTGCTCGCTGGCTGTGACGAAGAGAGAGTAGAGCAGCCTGGGGCAGTGGGGAAGGAAGGAGGAGAGAGAAGCTTCAGTCACTGAGCGGATGGAGGTGTTCTCATATATAGCACTGACTGTGCAGATGGGCTGCGGTAACACCGAAAGCTGAGGGCATGGGTGAACTGAGAGAGAGACAGAGGCAACAGAGGCAGGAGGTCGAGTCAGGAAGAGGCAGAGACGTACTTTTCAGAAGCGTCCTCGCCTTGCTGGTTCCTGTTGGACACAAAGCCCTCCAGCGATGACACTGCACAAAGTAGGGGGGTTCGGAGAGGGGGGAGGGGCAGAGAGGAGGGAGGGCGGGAGAGGAGAAGGTGGCAGAGTGAAGAGGAAGGCGGAGAAGAACAGGTACGCACCAGAACAGGTAGAACAGGCATGGGCACTGCACTGCATGCTCGCACTGCAGTGCATGGTCTTGACAACAACCAGGCGCAGCGTGGAGGCAATCATTGCGGTAGATCATGCAGACATCGAGGTACACAAGCACTTGCAGTGCAGCGAGCGCACACCAGAACACAGCCCGATTACGCCCCCAGCACTATTTGCCCCTGACGCCATTCCCCTCTGCCACAGGTTATGTCCTCCCGGCACAGGTCGTACCGCGGAAGCGGTGGTTGGGGTAGACAGGGACGTCCAGATACACGAGTCCCTTGCAGTGCAGCGCGCGCACACACACCAGCACAGGGTTACATTTAATCACAGCACTTTATGCACGCCAAGCAATGCACGCAAGCAGGCGTACCACGGAAGCGGTCGTTGGGGTAGACGGGGACGTCAAGGTAGACAAGCCCCTTGCAGTGCAGCGCGCGCACGAGGTCGTCGTCAAACTCGCCCGCCATGCAGTCTCCCTCGTGCCCGCCGCGCTCTATCACACTCAGCTCATCCTCTGTCAGCCTCTGGTGCCGTGCCGGGATATGGGTGATGAAGGGGGTGCGTGCGACGAGTGGGCAAGTGAATGTAAGCTAGAAGAGGTGGGAAGGGCTAGATGCATGAGAGCATGAGACTGTAAACGGATCTGACGGATCTGACAATTACCGTGGGTTAAACTCAAGATTTTCGCCCAGCCTCCTCACCTCGCAATGTAATCGGTACCCTGTACCCTGTACCCGCTTTAGGCTCACTCTGTACTCGTCAGCAGTGAGGTTGACGACGCAGACGAGCCACCAGGGCTGGATGGGGAAGGGCACTGGCTCCAATGGCAGCATGTCCTTCACTATTCCGCGGTTCACCCTCCACATCAGCTGATGCTCGCTCAGGGGGGGTGGGAGAGGGAAAACGGGCAGAGGAGGACAGATACCGATTCAGTAACGCAATTGTACAGTTCCATTCCATGTGATCAGATTCATGTCACCAACTCCAGCGGCAGCATGTCCTTCACTATGCCCCGGTTCACCCTCCACATCAGCTGATGCTCGCTCAGGGAAGGGACGGATGGGCAGGGAGACAGAACGAGAGTCGGCGCGGGATATAGAGAGACTGTCAGTCCAGGCAAGATCTTATTTAAAGTGAAGATGCAGCATGAAGGCAAGAGGTCATGATGGCATGATGGCATTGGATGCATGAGTGCATGAGTGCATGGGTGTATGCAGGGAGTGGCGGGCCACCTTGGCGCGGGCGCGGTTCATGATGTCAATAAACTGGTTGCGCCCGATGCCCGTCTCCCTCAGTGCATCCGCTGCTGTGAAGTTGGGAATTGTGTCGTAGGACTTCTCTGCACGCGGCGCACATGGGAGGGGGGGGAGGAGGAGAAGGTTAAGTGAGGCGGCTAACCCATGCAGCATGCCAGTGCGACACAACACTTGCTGTGCCCACCCTTCTGCATCCACATCGATTTCTCCCGTCACACATTCGTCACAGTCACCTCACCTTGCTTCATGACGTCACAGTCACCTCACCTTGCTTCATGACGTCACAGTCACCTCACCTTGCTTCATGACGTCGAGCAGCAGGTCGCTATAGTAGCGGAAGGGGGAGATGCGCAGCACACGGCAGATGTAGTCCGCCAGGTGGTACGGGAATGGCTGCCACGCACCATCATCAACACACACACACACACACGGATACAAGCATCAACACACATGATGTTTCAGCCGACTCAAACGTCAGCCAGTTGGCATGGGAAACGGCTGCCAGGCACGAGCATCCACCTAGACACGGACACAAGCCGATCCCGCCCACAGTTTCTCAATGCAGGCTTCATTCTTCCCGGAATCGTACGCATTCCTGGTCTACAAAGTTTCTTGATTGTCCGTGTCATCATTGAGTCATGAGTATGGGAGGCGAGGCGAGGCGAGACGCACGGCTTGGGTCTTGCGGCCGTGCGCGATGAGCTCGTTGTAATAGTCCACCTCGCGACACACGAGACGCGCGGGACTGTCGGGCCAGCGCAGCCGCAGCTGGAAGCAATGCTCCTTGATGCTGGATTGGGGTCGGATTTGGAGCATGGGAGGAGGGGAGGGAGGGTCGCGTTGAGGTGAATGACGAGGAGGGAGCTATGGAATTGTCGGCATTTTCAATCGTACGGCTGAGAACGAATGACGAGATTCAGAAACTTGCAGATTCGGGTGATCGTACAATCTTGACAGCGTGGCTGAGGCGTCACAGAATTCACGACAGAGATATAAAAAGCTAACGCCTTTCACCTCTCTTAGGAAAGCGCAGTGTTGGTCAGAGCTTTGCCAATGCCAATGCTAGAGCACATACCGTCTAATGTATTCTTCGTTCGAGCCTAGAAAGAGTTTCGCTCGTTTCGGCAGCTGGTCCCATGGTAGGCCTTCACGAACGGCCTTCGATATTAGCTGTTCTTCCATAACGGCGTCTTACGACGTGTCGCGAGTGAACATGAGACGGAGATTCTGGCGGAAAGTACGAAACTGGAATTTCCAGAGGCAAATGTATTGGATGTGAGGCGCCGAATGAAAGGGAGGGATTGAAACAAGATCCTTTCGCAAAATGGCGGTATTGCGCTGTCTGATGCTCGCCTACGAGCGCACAGCTTAGCTACGAATGTGAAATGCCATGGCTCTCTGTGAAGATGAGGGCTAGAATGAGGTGGCAAGGTGTGGGAAGAATCTGACAGAGGAGGCGACGGATGACTTGGAGCAGGGGGGACTCCTGGGGAATATCGGTGGAATAAATACGCGATATTGACTCTAGCGACATAGAAAAGAAAGGCTTCAGCAACAGTGTTCGTGGTTCACTAGAGTGATTAGCATATACGACAGTTCTGGTTTATAAATTGACATCCTGGCTGGTGTTTGGCTGGACTTTCTTGAGCCAGATTTGGCTCGTTAAGACCCAAATAAGGTATTACGTCTTGTAATTTGCACCAATGGTTGAACTACCATTTAGAGTGAGATGTGTTGATAAATATTTTGTGCAATTCGTTCACATTTTCAGATGGTGTTAGCTAGTGCAGCTAAGGTTGTCTGGAACAAGATGGTTCTCAGCGGAGCAATCCTCATCAGCCCCTCCCTGCTTCTGACATGTCTCTGTCTGCAAGGAGACACATCAGATTCTCGAGTTCTAGCTTTCTTGGTCCGACTTCGAAGCTATCCCTTTCAGGTCCCGAATTTATTGCATTGAGCAGCTAGCGACCAACTCATACTTCGTGTTTTCTCTCCAGCGCTCACGTTCCTAGCTGTATCTTTTTCGGATTTGGTTTGCGGGGCTTCTGACAGAAAATTATAGATCTTGCAGAAACACTACGGTGTCTATTCGGCACCTTGTTTCCTCACACGTCGTCTGAGTGCAATCCGAATCTGGCAAAATGTCGGGGAGCTCGGTCACTCTCGCGTTGGAAAGGGTAATCCTAGCAATCTAAGCAATCCAATGGTTACGTAATCAGTCGCAAAACGCTCGAGCTGCCTTCGCATCTGTGACTAACTTCCGTCGTTAACATTTCGTCGAATGTCCTGGCAGATAGCGAGCAAGGATAAGGATTTTCGTTACATGGGAACATCGGATCTGCTGAACGAGCTGAACCGAGACACGTTCCGCATCGACCCGGACAGCGAGAAGCGCCTGTGCCACGTGGTGCTGCAGCAGCTCGACGACGCCTCGGGCGACATCTCCGGCCTCGCCGTCAAGTGGTGCGTGCCGTGCGACATCGTCGCTCATGCATGGTCACTTGCGTGCACGGTCCCGGTTCCCGGCATCCAGTGTTTGGTTTATGGTTTGAGATTGTCCTAGATAGAATTAAGACTGACAGAATTCAAATGGTCGAGGAAAATGCCTGACAGGCGAAATCGAATCTCGTAGTCATTCAGTGGCGCCAACTCGATCATGTTTTCCCGCGTCTGGTCTGCTGCGTGTTTCCCGTTTCCGTCACGTGACGTTTTCCGTCAGCCTGGTGCCGTTAGTGAAGAAGGTGAGCGAGGCGCGCGTGGCGGAGATGAGCGCGGCGCTGGTGGGGAAGCTGCTGACGGGGAAGGACCAGCAGCGCGACATCGCTGCCATCGCGCTCAAGACCGTTGTGGCCGAGGTCGCGTCGCCGCCCGCCATCCACCACCTGCTCGCGTCCCTGCCGGCCAGACTCACCGCTGCTATCGACTCCCCGGTGCGTAGCAAGGCGTGAGGGTCGCGTTGCTGGTTGAATTCAACTTGAGGATTGATTGCTCTGCTGCACGGGTTGTTAATGGTGTTAGATTGACCATCCGCCCGCCATCCACCACCTGCTCGCGTCCCTGCCGGCCAGGCTCACTGCTGCTGTCGACTCCCCGGTGCGTGCATGCGAGGCGTAGGGTTTGCGGGTGGCGTTGCTGGGTTGTGTATGCGGAGTGGATGGATGGATTTGTAGGGGTTGTTTGATGGTGTCATTCTTTCGCCACACCAACCCAACACATCCCTTTTCATTGCTGCACTGCGCATTACCACACCACATCCCTCCACATCACCCCACCCTACCCCTCCGCATCATCCAGCCACATTCCTCCTCATCACCACGTCTCACCCATCCGCACCACACTTCTCCGCATCACACCGTTCCTCATCACCGCAATGCATCCCCCACGCTGGGCAGGACACGAGCGTGGACGTGAAGGGCGAGTGCCTGGACGTGCTGGGGGACGTTCTGCAGCGGTTCGGAGTGGTGATGGCCGGTGACCACGAGCGGCTGCTCGTGCCCCTGCTGCAGCAGCTCTCCTCCCCCCGCGCCTCTCTTCGCAAGCGAGCCACCCAGTGCCTGGGTACGCCTAAAAGGCCATATCATCTCCTGACCAACATGTTAGCATCATGACTGCTGACTCAGTGCCTCAAAAGAGGCCACGGAGTGCGTGGGTATGCCTACAAGGCAATAACATCTCCAGACCAACATGCTAGCATCTTGTGGCGTAGCTGTCTTTGTAGCAGCTACAATGAACACGGCGTTCCTGCCCCACCAACTCCTTCCCATTGCACGGGTCATCAGCTGCTATCTCCCTGTGTTCCTTCACCCATGTGCATGTTCCCCTGTACTATCGCCCTGTGCACATCGCTCTCTCCCCCGTGTGCGTGTGGGCGAGCAGCGAGTCTGGCGGCGAGTCTATCGGACGACCTGTTGGCGAGGGCGACCAAGAGCGTGGTGGCACTGCTGCAGCGCACTGACCTCAAGCCCGACATGACTCGCTCCTACATCCAGATGGTCGGCGCGCTCTGGTATGCATGCTACACTGCAGATAGTGTGTGTGTGTGTGGTACGCCACTCGGCGCTCTCTGGTACGTCACAGTGCTCTGCGTGTTGGTAAATGCGCCCTTTCAAGCCCGACATGACTCGCTCCTACATCCAGATGGTCGGCGCGCTCTGGTATGCATGCTACACTGCAGATAGTGTGTGTGTGTGTGTGTGTGGTACGCCACTCGGCGCTCTCTGGTACGCCACAGTGCTCTGCGTGTTGGTAAATGCGCCCTTTCAAGCCCGACATGACTCGCTCCTACATCCAGATGGTCGGCGCGCTCTGGTATGCATGCTACACTGCAGATAGTGTGTGTGTCTGTGTGTATGTGTGTGTGTGGTACGCCACTCGGCGCTCTCTGGTACGCCACAGTGCTCTGCGTGTTGGTAAATGCGCCCTTTCAAGCCCGACATGACTCGCTCCTACATCCAGATGGTCGGCGCGCTCTGGTATGCATGCTACACTGCAGATAGTGTGTGTGTGTGTGTGTGGTACGCCACTCGGCGCTCTCTGGTACGCCACAGTGCTCTGCGTTTTGGTAAATGCGCCCTTTCAAGCCCGACATGACGCGCTCCTACATCCAGATGGTCGGTGCGCTCTGGTACGTACGCCCCTCTCTGCTCTGCTGCCCACATGGTTGGGGTGGGACTCTTTGGTACACCGTGCTGCAAGTTGTGCAGTGCTGCAAGTTGTACAATGCGTTGGCAGGACATTGCACCAACCAAATCGTCTCCTCCGCTCTCCCCCTTGTCCCCCCACTTCTCGCGCTCCTCCTCCCCTGCCAGCCGGGCGGTGGGGTACCGCTTTGGGCCGCAACTGGCAGTGGTGCTGCCGCTCGTGGTGGGCTTCTGTGAGGGCGCCTCTGAGAACGACGACGAGATCCGCGAGTACTCCCTGCAGGTGCGTTCCTTTCCTCAGGCTCTTCATAAGTCCCAGGTTGAAGGCGTCTTGAAACTAGAATGAATCCTGCAGATCTGTGTCTGTGACACGGATCTTCCTTCTTCCGTTTATGATGCAGCTCTTCATTACCGTTGTGTCTGTGCGTGCAGGCATTGGAGAGCTTTGTGGTGCGGTGTCCCAAGGACATGGCAGAGCACTGCGAGGCGATCTTGTGTGTGTTCAACGTGATCCCTTGGGCGCCTCAGACACTAACAGCACCACCTGATTCCTTGTCCACCCCTCTGTGCGTGCAGGCATTGGAGAGCTTTGTGGTGCGGTGTCCCAAGGATGTGGCAGAGCACTGCGAGGCGATCTTGGACCTGGCGCTCAAGTACCTGAGCTACGACCCCAACTTCACTGATGACGCCATGGATGGCGACGGGGAGGGCGAGGGCGAGGAGGAAGATGAAGATGACGAGTGAGTGCGCGAGGGGGGAGGGGTAGGGCGGTGGTGTTTTGAGTCCACTGGGGAATCAGCTCAAAGAGGGATAAACTCAGCCATCTCGTACCTGAGCTACGACCGCAATGCCACTGATGATGCCATGGATGGCGAGGGCGAGGGCGAGGAGGATGATGAAGATGATGAGTGAGTGCGCTGTGTCAAGGATTGGGAGGGAAGGAGGAAACCTGAAGAGGAAGGGGGGAGACGGAGGGGGAGGGCGTTGGTGGTGACAGCTTAGGGTTGTGTGCATGCCATACCCCCGGGTCATCAGGCCCATGCATGCATCTACCATACCCCCCTGAGGCATCGGGTCCGTGCATGCATCTATCATCTGTACCCTCCGCCCACCATGCAGGGACGAGGAGGAGGAGTGCAGTGACGATGAGGACGTGAGCTGGGGTGGTATTGTGTGTGTATCATGCCATCTGCCATCCGCTGCACGCATGCATTGACACCCCTTGGTCATGTGCGCCGTGCAGGGACGAGGAGGAGGAGTACAGTGACGACGAGGACGTGAGCTGGAAGGTGCGGCGAGCAGCAGCGCGGTGCATCGCTGCCATCACCACGTCTCGCCCTGAGATGCTATCCACGCTCTACGCCAAGGTCAGCTGCTGCTGTGCCCCCAGCATCCAACCCCGCTCTCTCCATCACCATGTCTCGCCCTGAGATGCTCTCCACACTCTACGCCAAGGTCAGCTCCGGCGGCCCAAAACTTTCAACCTCAACCCTCGTGTGGGGCTTCCAACCACATTTTCTCGACCCTGTCCCTTGAACTAACACCCTCCCCGTCCCCTGCCAAACACACATTTAAACCCTCAACCCGAAACCCTACTCACCGCTTTGATTAGCTTTTTCACACCTCTAGCACCTCCGTGCTCTCATTCCTCCCTGTGTCGCCCCTTCTGTCCTCCCGTCTCGCAGGCGAGCCCGAAGCTGATCGAGAGGTTCAGAGAGCGTGAGGAGAATGTCAAGGTACGAGCAGTGCATTCACTCAAATAGGGTTACTATCTCACTTGATGCGAGCCCGAAGCTGATTTTTTCTTCTACCAGGCTGAGGTTGCTAAGTTTGTCTACGCCTATGCGTTGTTCTGCCCATCGTGTTTGCTCAACTTACCCATCCACTCCCCAAGCCCACAACACAAACCCGTGTCCGCCCTTTTCTCCCTCCACATGCAGGTGGATGTGTTCAATGAGTTCATCGACCTGCCCAGGCAGACGTCTGAGTCGACTCACACGTCGATTCTTCAGAAGCCTTATCTTCTCTCTCTCTCTCGCTCTCCTTTCCCCCCTCCTCTCCCTCCACATGCAGGTGGACGTGTTCAATGCGTTCATCGACCTGCTCCGACAGACAGGCCACGTCACCAAGGGCCATGCCTCCCCTGCTGATGTGCCACCTGGCAGGTACCACCAGTGCGGTAGGAGTGAGTAGGTAACACCTGCAGGATAGGAGCGAGGAGGTGATGATATCTGCAGGGTGGTACTGGGCAGGTAACACTGGTCACACTGGGGGCGCGCTGGTTCACCACCCTGCTGAGGTGGTTTTTGAGAATTCTCAAAAACCAGAGCGGGTAGGTAATACCTGCAGGGTGGTACTGGGCAGGTAACACTGGTCACATCGCACTGGGGGCGCGCTGGTTCACCACCCTGCTGAGGAGGCTTCTGGCTGTCTGTCACAGTCGCAGGAGCAGGCACTTATAACTCCACGCCCTTCATATGCTCCCCACTCCGTACCTTGCTGCCCATGCTGCGCCTCCCTCCTCCCCCCATTCTCCACGTGCCACCGCCGCATCCCCTTCCACCCCCCCCCCCCCCACCGCGGGGTCACCACTCCGTCCCCTCGCCTCAACCCCCCGGTGTCACCACCGTGTCCCCCGTTGCCTCCCCATGTGGCGCTGTGTGTGCAGTCCGCTGGCAGTGTTGAGGGAGGAGGTGCCTCGCATCGTGCGCTCGCTCAACAGACAGCTCAAGGAGAAGTCGCTCAAAACACGGGTATGTGTGTCTAATTGCTGGGGCATGGGAGGAATAAGCTCATAGAGCTGTGTGGGATGAACTTTTGAGTTGACCCAACAGGAGGTGCCTCGCATCGTGCGCTCGCTCAACCGGCAGCTCAAGGAGAATTCGCTCAAAACACGGGTGAGTACGGGTGCGTGCGTGCACTGGTGGGAAAATGAGAGAGGAGCGCATGGGGCTGGGTGAGTGAGGGCTTTTCCGAATCTTCCAGTCACGGTTTGCAGTCCCTTGCTGTTTCGTAATGGCACGCCATCTGTGCGTCACCTTAACCTGTGCCTCTGTGCTGCCATGGGTGCACAGGTGGGAGTGTTCACTGTGCTCAAGCAGCACGTGCACGGTTGTTCAGGTTCCTCTTGATCCATTCGTGCATCACCTTCCCTTGTGCCTATCTGCTGCTGTGCGTGCAGGTGGGAGTGTTCAGTGTGCTCAAGGAGTTGGTGCATGTGCTGCCCAACTGCCTCACGAGCCGTTTATGTGTTGCCTGTCATTGTGCCTATCTGCTGTCATGCGTGCAGGTGGGAGTGTTCAGTGTGCTCAAGGAGTTGGTGCACGTGCTGCCCAACTGCCTCACAGACCTCATCGCCCTCCTCATCCCCGGCATTCAAAAAGCGCTCTCTGTGAGTCCTCCTTTCAGCGTCTCAGAACTACATTTCAACTTGCTCTCAGGCTTCTAAAACATGCCGTCTCAAGCAGTATCTTTTTGTGACTTGCTGCCGCCTTGCCACCTGCTGTCCACTTTGAAGTGAGTGAACTCCATGTCCGGCCTCCATACCCCTCTTCCTCTGCGTCCCCCTCTGCATTCCAGCACCTCTTCCATTCCTTTTTCACATTGCTTCTCTTCTTTCCACCTCTCCTTCCCGCTGCCCCATATTTCATGTCAACCCTGTCCATGGCATGGCATGATGGCATGGCAGGACAAGGCGTCCAACTCCAACCTCAAGATCGAGGCGCTTCTCTTCACTCGCTTGGCCATGGCCTCCCACCCGCCCCATGTCTTCCAGCCGCACATCAAGGTGCTTCTCTTCTTTCACACACATCCACTCTGGTTTGGATACGTATCTTCCCAGCAAGTCTCACAGTCTAGAGTGAAGCAATGCCTTGATTCGTGCTGCTAGTTCCGAGCACCCCCCGTATCCTTCCTCCCCCTCCTAGATCCCTCTCCTTCTCACTTCCCCTGAGAATCTCCCCTGGCCCTCGTCTTCTCCCTCCACTTCCTCTCTCTTCTTGCCAATCATTCATCTACAATCTCCCCCATCCGCTACCCCATCCTTCTCTCATCTTCAATCCTCGAAGGCACCGCTTTCCAACCCCAACCTCCCCGTTCCTTCGTGGTGTGTGCAGGAGCTGGCGGCGCCAGTGGTGGCAGCGGCAGGAGAGCGGTACTACAAGGTGACAGCAGAGGCGCTCCGAGTCGTGGGCGAGATGGTCAAGGCCATTCGCCCCCCCGCTCCCCAGGTACGAGCCTCTCAACCCTGCTGGCCTTGTTGTTTTCGCTGCACTGCACCTGCCCTCGCTGTTGCTCCTGTTGTCAGTGTAACAACCCTTGCCACTAACTCTCACTACTGTCTTACTTCCTCTCTCTCATCCCTCCGCCTGCCACTGCCTCTCACTCACCCCCTCTGCTGGATAACAGCTTTGGCTTTGCCCCATACGTGCCGCTCTTCTATGATGCTGTCATGAAGCGCCTCGCTGCTCAAGACAGCAGCACCACATCTCTGCTGACTTGTCTCTCACCGCCTCCTCTTTACCTGTGACTTACCCCATCCTACGTGCCACTGCCTGTCTCACTCACCCCCTCTGCAGGATAGCAGCTTTGATTTTGCACCGTACGTGCCGCTCTTCTACGATGCGGTCATGAAGCGCCTCACTGCCCAAGACCAGGACCTCGTGAGTCCCTCCTCTCCCCCTCCCTGCCCTGCCGCCGCCGCTGCTGCTGCTGCTGCTGCTGCCTGTCGTGTTTCTGCTGCCCTGCCTTGAGTTGAATAGCACGGACACCTGCCATCCTACTTCGTTAGCCCCTGTGTGCATGTCATCCCATCCCACTTCATCGCTCCTTTCCCCCCTCCTTCCCCACGCCTGCCATCTGTGCGTGAGCAGGAGGTGAAGGAGTGCGCCATTGGCTGCATGGGGCTGCTGGTCTCCATCCTGGGCGACCACCTCCAATCACATCTCGCCACGTGTCTGCCCCTCCTGCTGGACCGCCTGCGCAACGAGATCACCCGCCTCACAGCCGTCAAGGTGCGGAGAGAGGCATCAGCATGCCTGCTCCTTTATTCCTATGCTGTCAATGTCGATGCATCATGATTGCGAGAAACAGACGTTTTAAGTATACCTTGTCCCACGAAGTCTGTTTTTTCCCTGCCCACGCCTCTTGCCACCTGCCGCTCCCCGGCACCAGGCGTTCGGCACGATAGCAGAGTCACCGCTGCACATCAGCCTGTCATCTGTGCTCGACCCCACCCTCGCTGAGCTCACCTCCTTCCTGCGCAAGGTACGTACCCCCACTCTATAGGTACCCCCAGTTCCCCTTTCCATTGCTGCCCTGCTTCTTCCTGCTCGTCAAGTCTCTTCTAGTAGCATGGGCTTCGGCTCATGGATCCTCCTTAATGCCACGTTTTTCACCTGCCTCCCCCTGTCCCCTTTGCCCCCTTGCACTCGCTCCTCTTGCAGGCCAACAGGTCGCTGCGCCAGGCGTCCCTCTGCACGCTCAACGCCATGCTCTCAGCCTATGCGCCCGACATCACAGACGCCGCCAGGGATGCTCTCCTCACAGAGCTCGCCCCGCTCATCAGGTGCCTCTCCCACCACCCTTAGTCTCACCTCATCAACGCCCTGCTCTCAGCATGGCGCCATGCTATGCGCCCGACATCACAGACGCCGCCAGGGATGCTCTCCTCACAGAGCTCGCCCCGCTCATCAGGTGCCTCTCCCACCACCCTTAGTCTCACCTCATCAACGCCCTGCTCTCAGCATGGCGCCATGCTATGCGCCCGACATCACAGACGCCGCCAGGGATGCTCTCCTCACAGAGCTCGCCCCGCTCATCAGGTGCCTCTCTAGCACGTGTTAGCAACGTTGTTCCGCTGCCTGTGTGACTGTGTGTTTCTATCCCTCCCTTGTCTCATCTCACTATTTATCGCTTGGCCATCTTACAGCCATCCACCGCCATCAGCCCCAGATTTTCAATGTGGCACTTCCGAGCCTGCCCCTTTCCATTGTCGACCCCGCTCCACCCATCTCCTTCCTCCCCCCTCCTCCACTACCGCAGTGACTCGGATCTGGCACTGGCAGCGCTGGCGCTGCAGCTGTGCTGCTCCGTGACCAGGCAGGCGCCCCCCGGGTCCGCTGCTGCAGCAGCTGTGGCCTCCAAAGTGCTGCCCCAGGCGCTCGCCCTCGTGCGCTCGCCGCTGCTTCAGGGGCAAGCTCTGCAGGTGAGGGAAGGGGTGAGGGAAGGGGTGAGGAAGGTTGTGATAGCAGGGATGAGGGAAGGGGAGAGGAAGGGTCATTGTGTTGGTCTTGCCATTGCTAGGGTCCTTCACATCTCTCACCCATCTTCACTTTCTTCACATTCTAGATCCCTTCCCCCCATCTCTCCTCCTCTCCTCTCCCTCTCTCCTGAACCCCCCTCTTCCACTCTCCTGCCAGGTCCTGCAAGACTTCCTTGCAGTGCAGGTGCAGGCATCAGCCACGTCCTTTGACGTGCTGCTCGCCTTGACCATATCCCCCGCCGTTCCTCCTCTCTCATCCCTTTTCTCGCCCTCCCCCTCCCCTCCCCTGCCAGGCCCTGCAAGAGTTCTTCGCAGTGCAAGTGCAGGCATCAGCCACGTCCTTTGACGCGCTGCTCGCCGCGCTGCTCTCAGCAGGCCGCCCCTTCTCCTCCTCCATGTCCCCCGCTGCCGCTGCCGCAGCCGCCTCCTCCTCTGCTGCTGCCCGCCCCGCCTTCTCGTCAGTGGCGCAGTGCGCCGCTGTGCTGTGTGTGGCTGCTGGGTCTGACCAGTGTGCTGCCACTGTGAGGGCGCTGATGAGCAACCTAGAGGGTTCTGCTCACCCTGCTGACACGGTGAGTGTGCTAGAGGGAGAGAAAGAGAAATAGAGAGTGTGCATATTGCGGTGCGCTGCCGTGCTGTGCGTCGCTGCTGGCGCTGACCAGTGCGCGGCCACTGTGAGGGCGCTGATGAGCAACCTAGAGGTGCTTCTCACCCTGCTGACACGGTGAGTGTGCTAGAGGGAGTGTGCCTGCACTGACAATACAGCAGTGTTGACGGGGCAGTGCTTTTAATAGCAGTGGGTGTAAACATGGCAGTGTGCCGCTTGTGGTTCTAGCTCCACCCACTTCGCAACCCCCTCCACATCCCTCCTTTCTTTCTCACCCCTCATCTGCCTGCCACCAGCACAAGCAACTGCTTTCCCTGCTGTGCCTCGGCGAGATAGGCCGGCGGGTGGACCTGAGTGCACACAGCACGCTCCCCACCCTCGTCATGTCCGCACTGGCGTCGCCCCTAGAGGAGGTGAAGGCAGCAGCATCGTTTGCGCTGGGGAGCATAGCGGTGGGCAACCACAGCCAGTACCTGCCGTTCGTGCTGCAGCAGATCGACTCGCAGCCCAAACTGCAATACCTGCTGCTGCACTCGCTGAAAGAGGTGAGGTCCGAAAGAGAGTGCAGGCGGTGAATCCTTAATCAGTATTGTAGTAGGCTCATCAGCAGATCGGCTCGCAGCCCAAATTGCAGTACCTGCTGCTGCCCTCGCTCAAAGAGATGAGCACCCACTTGCCCATGGTAGGTAGAAGCACAGCAGTGCAGGTGGATTCCTGAGCATTATACATCTTCTAAGCCATCTCTCAAGCTCAGCCGAGGCGCTTTTCCCTTTCGCACCTCCCTTTTCAAACCTTTATCCCATGCCTCCCCTACAGATCATCTCTGGGCGAGCGGCGAGTGGCGGCAGTGCGGCAGTGGAGCTGGAGGGGGAGAACGTGGGCAAGGTGTTGGCGCTGCTGTTCACACACAGCGAGAGCGACGAGGAGGGCGTGCGGAACGTGGTGGCCGAGTGCCTGGGCCGCCTTGCTCTCATCGACCCTCCTAGACTCGTGCCCGCTCTCAAGGTCAGCTGACAGTTCACAGCTCACAGCGCACAGGTGGTAAGAGAAGGTGCTGGCGCTGCTGTTCACGCACAGCGACAGCGACGAGGAGGGCGTGCGGAACGTCGTGTGTTACTGAAGGCGCCTGCCTAGGTGAGTTGTTACTGAAGGCGCCTGCCTAGGTGAGTTGTTACTGAAGGCGCCTGCCTAGGTGAGTTGTTACTGAAGGCGCCTGCGTAGGTGAGTTGTTACTGAAGGCGCGCCTGCCTAGGTGTGGAGTCGACTTCCACCGCGCCTCGTACCCACAGTCAAGCCCCACCACCTGCTGCCTCTGCCAGTTCCGTTCCTCCTCAGGCATTGCCTTTGCTGCTCCCTCGTTCTCACCATCACCATCACTCTCACCCTCACTTTATTTCACCCCCATTCTCTCCCTCCCCATCTTCTCTCTTCGTCTCCCTGCGTGTCTCCAGGAGCGTGTGGGCAGCCCATCAGCCTTCACTCGGGCCACAGTGGTGGCGGCACTCACTGACTCACTCTCACTGACTCACTCTCACTGACTCCGCGCAGCCCATTGATGCTCACCTCAAGCCGCACCACCCCCTTCCTCGTTCCCCCTCGTCCCGCTCCATCCCTCTGCGTGGTGACAGGAGCGAGTGGGCAGCCCATCCGCGTTCATACGAGCCACGGTGGTGGCGGCACTCAAGTTCACTCTCACTGACTCCGCCCAGCCCATCGACGAGCACCTCAAGCCGCACCTCTCCTCCTTCCTCTTCCTGCTCCGAGACTCCGACAGGGTGAGGGGACGGTGTGAAGGGTGCGGGATAAAGTTCGAGATATGTTTCTGGGTAGGGTTTGGAAATATGGGAAGTTGAAGGGACTGGAATCGGTAGTTGCTGCATGTTCTTGACCACATGAGATCTTCACTCATTCTACAAAAGCCTCCTTAGTTCCTGCATTTCCTCCTTAACCAGTTGAGCTGTTACCCGTGCTGCCCTCCTCACTCTTCCCCTTCCACTGCAGCATGTGCGGCGGGCAGCAGTGCTGGCGCTGACGACAGCAGCACACAACAAGCCAGGGTTGGTGGAGGACCTCCTGCCAGAGCTGCTGCCGCTGCTGTACGACCAGATGCGAGTCAAGGTACTATCTGACAAGAATGTGTGGCAAAATGGATCCACTTCCTAAAAGTTTCTAGATGGGGAATTGAGAGTGGAAGGCTCGTTTTGCCTTGGCTTTTTATAGGAACGAGTATGAATTCATTTCAAGTTAAGTCTTCACATTTCTTGCTCACCCGCTTCCTCTCCTGCCATATGCAGCCTGAGATGATCCGGACCGTTGATCTGGGCCCATTCAAGCACACAGTGGATGATGGGCTGGAGCTGCGCAAGGCAGCCTTCGACTGCATGGACACGCTCCTCTCCACCTGCCTGCACCGCATCCAACCTGCCGCCTTCATCACCCCCTTCCTCATCTCTGGCCTCTCGGGTACGTTTACCCCCTTGACACATCAAGTCCTCTGTACCTCTCGTTTCCCTTTTCCTTTAAATCTCTTCCTTCTTCTCATCGCTCTGCTCCCTTCCCCTCCCCTCCCTCCCCTCCCCTCCCCTCCCCTCCCCTCCCCTAACATGTCACTCATCGAATTCCTTCATTTCTCCCTTCCGTTCTCTCAATCCTTCCCTTCCCTGCATCCCTCCCCGCCCCTCCTCTCTCTCCCCACTGTTAAAACCACCATGGGGTGCAGACAACTACGATGTGAAGATGCCATGCCACCTGGTGCTGGCGAAGCTAGCAGAGAAGTGTGCCCCATCGGTGCTGGCAGTGGTGGATGCACTGGTGGAGCCATTAGAGAAGACTGTGACGACGCGTGTGAAGGCAGACGCAGTGAAGCAGGAGGTGGACCGCAACGAGGACATGATCCGCAGCGCTCTACGCGCCGTGCACGCGCTGTCCCGCATCAGGTTAGTGCCGTGCACGCGCTGTCCTGGATTAGGTGCAATGTGCTTGCTTGGATCTAGTGAGTAGCATGGCAGGAAGGAAGCAGGTGAGTTGTGTGGGACGAGTGAAGCAGGAGGTGGACCGCAACGAGGACATGATCCGCAGTGCCCTGCGCGCCGTGCATGCTCTCGCCCGAATTAGGTACGATGTGCTTGCTTGAGTCAGGTGAGTGGCGTGGCAGGAAGTAAATGAGTGGTGTGGTGGGCATTGCATGATGCCATGAAGCAGAGGTGGACCCAATGAGGACATGGTCCGCAGCGCCCTGCGTGCCGTGCATGCTCTTCAAGCATCAGGTAAGTGCCGTGGTTTCAAGATAGGAGTATGGTGTGGGATCAATAGAGCTGTGTTGTATCAAAGAAGTGGCGTGGGAGAGTGGTGTGCCAGGGAGTATGCTGGAGCCTGGAACCCACGAGGGGGTCAAGTTATGCAATTTCCTTAATTTTACCTGCTCTCTGCAAAAGCCTTCACTCCCACCCTCTAGTTGCCTCTGCCTTTGTCACTAAACATATTTGTACACGCAGGCACACACTATCACCTCTGCTTTCCCTTCCCTCCTCCGTCCATCCCTGCTCCGCCCCGTCCCCATGACACAAGCAGCAATGTGGATTCATCGACTCGCTTCAAGACATTAATGACCAATGTGGTTAGAGCGGGGCCTGTGGGGAACTTGTACAATCAAATCAGATCGGAGCAGGATGCGGTGGCTGGCAGCAGTCGTGCGGAGCTATAATGACATCCCTGCACATGGAACAATTTACAAGTGCCTTTGGTCGTCCAAGTGATTTCGTTTCTCCTGATGTACGACACAGTTGCTGGGCTGTGCACTGGCACAGCGTTAAGTTAGTTTGAGAATATGCCACGAGGATGCACCTTATGGGGAACTAACATGGATAATGTAAGCAATCAGCTTGCTTTGATGTGATTGCAACACACCATACGATGGTTGAAAGAGTGCTGCTGGGTGAATGAACATAAGGTAAGAGATAACATTGTGCAGGCCTTTCGAATTTACTGGTGTAGTCAGTTAGCATGACAAACTGCTTAGCGCGTATAGCCCCGCCAAAATACGAACCTGCGCAGGTTCGGTGGTGGTGATTGAGCTGGGTCCTCGCGGTACAGTACTGGCTTGATCTTGATCGTTGTCGTTCTCCCTCGATGTTGCGTTCGTTCCAAACCTTGCTTCAAGTGCGCAGCCGCTCTGCCAGCCACACCAAGCCGAACCTTCCTTTGGGCTTGTCGCCTCGCACGCGCAGGCATTGTTGGGTTTGACTGCGCCCAATTGCCTGCCTGGCTACAGCACCCAGCAAGAACTGCTCCAAACCACACAACACACAAATTGAAACTCCAAATGACTGGATGACTGGGTTGGATAGACTTTTTATCCAGAAAGTGAGCCGACCATGGCTGTGCTTGTGCAACACAGTATACAAGCTGTAGGATGTTCTGCCTGAATGTGCACAAGTCGCTCCGCCTGACAAAGCGCAGTGCGGTACAGCACTCGAAGCATTTGGTGGATAGAATCACGCGTCACATTGACTCTAATGTCGGGACGAGGGTGACGGGAAAAGGATTCAACTCAAATGCTCGTGTCACATTCTAGCTGGCTTGATTGCTGGAAGTTAGTATTAGAAGTAACCTTGTGTTACTTCGCTGCACATCACACCGTAGTTTGCAGCCTGACAACCTGAGAGCCTCTAAGAACGATTAATTCCTGACCAACCTCAACTACTCGCGCTTGTGCGCGCAGTTTCGTCTTAGCTCTCCGCAAACGTCGGTTCGAAATTTGTTAACCTTAAGATTCACAACTCGGGTGGAACGATGGCTTCCAACGGAAGCGCCTTGGTGGTAGTGGCGGTGCTGCAGCTGCTGCTCCTACTGGCGGGTAACGCCGTGCCGAGCGCGGGTCAGGACACGAGCCAGCAGCAGTGCTTCTGGCCGCTCAACGACACGGAGGGTAAGCTCACTCTTTCGCGCGGCATGTAGGCTTCCGCGCGTGATGAGTGGATTTTGGAGTCGACTCGTAGTCAGGACAAAGAGCCTACAGCAGTGCTTCTGGCCGCTCAAAGTCACGGAGGTAAGCTCGCTATCACGCAATGTTGGCTTCGTTTCGCGCAGTGTCGGCTTCTCAGGTTTTCATGCAATGTCAGCTTCTTTTCTCAGTAAATCATGCAGTGTCGGCTTCTTTTCTCAAATGTCGCTTCAATTCTTCAATATTTCACACAATGGTCTAGCGCTATCTCAGCTCAATTCTACCACCCAACATAAGTTCACTCTCATGCACTCTGGGACTTACGTTCTTTATCTAATGCTTGGCAGCGGAAATTCTATTCAGAGTTTCACTCAGTGTAGATTACTTTCCCCTCGACCTGGCTTACATCACCACCTGCGTCAACGTTGGCGTCACATGCAGCGACAGTGGCCACGTCAGGAAAATGTCAGTGCTGCTGCTGCTGCTGCTGCTGCTGCTGCTCATGCCGTCGCTGGTGCTGATGCCCATGTTACCGCAGGAGGAGTACGAGATGCTCGCGAGTGACGCTTTCTTGCCTTGACTCGTGGCTGTTGTGCCCGCAGCCAATGGCAGAGCATGGCAATTCAAGGGGAGCTGCCTTCAGAGATTTTCCAGCTGGTGCACCTTGAATACCTGTGAGCGTCTGCGCTTGAAGCATGAAGTATGAATGTGCTCAACGCTGATGCTGCGCTTGAGGCACAGCTCACTTATTCCTTTCATGCATCAATCTCTTCGTGCGGGCACTTGACGGCACTTGAGGGCACTCGAGGGCACTTGAGGGCATGCATGCAGTATGAATGTACCGCATGAATGTGATCAACGCTGATGCGTGCGACCAACGCTGATGCATGTTATCAACTCTGATGCATGTTATCAACTCTGATGCATGTTATCAACTCTGATGCATGTTATCAACTCTGATGCATGTTATCAACGCTGATGCATGTTATCAACGCTGATGCATGTGATCACCGCTGATGCATGTGATCAACGCTGATGCATGTGATCAACGCTGATGCATGCGGCCAACTCTGATGCATGTGACCAACGCTGGTGTGTAAACCGTTCGCAGGTCTCTGCGAGACAACTACCTGCGTGGCTCCATCCCCTCTGAAATTGGCAACCTCGTCGATCTCACATTTCTGTCAGTTCGCTTCGTCCCTCTTAGCGTTGTTCCCTCTGTTATTTGATTTCGCCCCCTGTTGCTTAGCGTCGCCTGGCTGTCAGTTAATTTCGTCCCTCTGTCAGTTGACGTTGCCTCTCTCTCAGGTACCTTCACCCGTCACTCAGTTAACTTCACCCCTCCCTCAGTTAACTTCACCCCTCCCTTCACCCCTCCCTTCACCCCTCCCTCAGTTAACTTCACCCCTCATTCAGTTAGCATCGCCCCTCTGTCAGTTAACTTCGCCTGTCTGACAGTCGACCTCATCTTTGTCAGTAGCACCGACACGCCTCGAACGGTCTCTCTGATTGGTGTTTCTGTGAGTCATGTGTGTATTGTGTGTGTATGTGTGTTGTGTGTGTGTGTGTGTGTGTGCGTGCATGTGTGTGTGCACGTGTGTGTGTGTGCGCGCGCGCGCGTGCGGGCATGTGCGTGTGTGCCTGTGCATGTGTGCGTGTATGTGTGAGAGTGTGCGTACATTTGTGCGAGTGTGTGCATGCATGTTTGCACGCATACGCATGTGTGTGAGTGTGTGGAAGGTGTGTGTGGATGCACGCACGTGTGTGTATGCGAGTGTGAGTGGCATGCATGCCTGACAGGGACATCTCCAACAACTCCTTCTCAGGCCCCTTCCCCACCTTCTTCAGCAGACTCACCAAGCTCGCCTTCCTGTAAGTTAACGCTTCCCACCTGTCAGCAACAATTACTACCTGTCAGTCAACAATTCCCACCTGTCAGTCAACAATTCCTACCTGTCAGTCAACAATTCCTGCCCGTCAGTCACAATTCCTCTCTGTCAGTCAACAAGTCCTCCCCGCCAGTCACATTTTCATCTCATCCCTGTCAGGCACATGTTCATCCCTGTCAGTCAGGCATTTCGTTGAGCCATCCACTTCCACCAGCTGGCCAGTCGCCAGTTGGCTCTACCCCTTCCTATGTCCTCACATGCCATGCCATGCCATGCCGTGCCATGCCATGCCGTACCCTGCCCTGCCGCTCCTACCACCAGGGACATGGGATTGAACAAGTTTTCGGGCAGCCTTCCAGATGCCATCGGCAACATGGTCTCTCTCATCGACCTGTATGTGTGCGCCGCCCGGGATGTATGTGCACCGCCCGGCATGTATGTGTGCCGCCTGGCATGTATGTGCACCGCCTAGCATGTACGTGTGTGCTGCCTGGCATGTGAGTGTGCCGCCCGGCATGTATGTGCGGTACCAAGCATCTACGTCTACACCTCGCCCTCCCTCTCTTCCGTTTTCTCCTTCCAAGCACCCATGTCTTCTCCCTCTGTCTTCTACACCCCCTTCGCATCATCCTCTCCCTTCTCTCCCCTCTCCGTCCTCTCCCTCCTCTCCCTCCTCTCCCTCCTCTCCCTCCTCTCTCTCCTCTCCCTCCTCTCCCTCCTCTCCCTCATCTCCCTGCTCTTCCTCCGCCTCTGCAGGTTCGTGAAGGAAAATGACTTCACAGGGGCACTGCCCACCGTCATGGGGCGCCTCACCAACCTCCACTTCTTGTGAGCCTCCCGTCACCATGTGAGCATCTGAGTGACCACGTGAGCATCTGAGTGACCACGTGAGCATCTGAGTGACCACGTGAGCATCTGAGTGACCACGTGAGCATCTGAGTGACCACGTGAGCATCTGAGTGACCATGTGAGCATCTGAGTGACCATGTGAGCATCTGAGTGACCACGTGAGCATCTGAGTGACCACGTGAGCATCTGAGTGACCACGTGAGCATCTGAGTGACCATGTGAGCATCTGAGTGACCACGTGAGCATCTGAGTGACCACGTGAGCATCTGAGTGACCACGTGAGCATCTGAGTGACCATGTGAGCATCTGAGTGACCATGTGAGCATCTGAGTGACCACGTGAGCATCTGAGTGACCACGTGAGCATCTGAGTGACCATGTGAGCATCTGAGTGACCATGTGAGCATCTGAGTGACCACGTGAGCATCTGAGTGACCACGTGAGCATCTGAGTGACCACGTGAGCATCTGAGTGACCATGTGAGCATCTGAGTGACCATGTGAGCATCTGAGTGACCACGTGAGCATCTGAGTGACCACGTGAGCATCTGAGTGACCACGTGAGCATCTGAGTGACCATGTGAGCATCTGAGTGACCACGTGAGCATCTGAGTGACCACGTGAGCATCTGAGTGACCACGTGAGCATCTGAGTGACCATGTGAGTGGCCCCAGTACAGCCCTTGTCAGCTCTGCAGCCTGTGAAGGCCTTTTAACGATGTGATCTGCCAGTATTTTCTGAGTTTTCACCCTTCAACCGCATCCCCTCAGTCATTGTATTGTATCCCAGTCACTATCATCTCACCCCCGTGTGTGCATGCCAAATGACTTGTGTGCGTGCAGAGACGTGTCACACAACCGCCTGTCAGGGACCATCCCCCAGTCCTTCTCCAGCATGGCCAGCCTCGGCACCATGTGAGTCTCACCTCCATGCCATGCCATGCCATGCCATGCCATGCCATGCCGTGCCATGCCATGCCATGCCATGCCGTGCCATGCCATGCCATGCCATACCATGGCATCCCATGCCATGCGACCCATGCGATGCTTTGCCATGCCGTGTCTCAGCTCCATGTGAGTTACAGCTCCATGTGAGTCTCAGTTACATCTAAGTCTCAGCTCCATGCCGCGCCATGCCATCCACTCCAGCATGGCCAGCCTCGGCACCATGTGAGTCTCACCTCCATGCCATGCCATGCCATGCCATGCCATGCCATGCCGTGCCATGCCATGCCATGCCATGCCGTGCCATGCCATGCCATGCCATACCATGGCATCCCATGCCATGCGACCCATGCGATGCTTTGCCATGCCGTGTCTCAGCTCCATGTGAGTTACAGCTCCATGTGAGTCTCAGTTACATCTAAGTCTCAGCTCCATGCCGCGCCATGCCATCCACTCCATGAGCACCGCCATTAACTGCCACCATCCTGCCAATCAGCGTCCATCATACCACCCGCCACATCTACCACGGACCAATGTCGCAGCAATACCCTTTTCCACCAATGTCACAACCCCATGCGCAACACCCCATGTTCCCCCTTCCCTCCACGGCAGTTGGCTGCACCACAACTTGTTTTCGGGGTCGCTGGCGCCCCTCGCTGCTCTCTCCTACCTCAGTTTCGTGTGAGCACTTATTTCGCCCTCCATGCATTATCAGCACTTGTCTCGGCCTCTGTTCCCTGTCAGTATAACAGGCTCTTTTTCTGTCTTCACCAAAACGCCTTTCCCACTCTCTATCTCTCTCCTTCTTTGTCTCCCCATTGCCACTGGCAGCTTCCTATGCTGCAACCGCCTGAACGGATCCATACCATCCATATTCGACTTTTGAGGCGCCTCAAAAGTTCTCCCTTTTCCCATTGCCACGTGCAGCTACCTGTGTTGCAACCGCTTCAACGGGTCCATACCGTCTACCTTCGGCAGCAACTTGTACATCTTGTATGCCTTTCACTACAGTACCATGTTCCATGCGTCGGCATCATCTGTCATGCATCGACATCATCTGTCATGCGTCGACATCATGTGTCATGCGTCGACATCATGTGTCATGCGTCGACATCATGTGTCATGCGTCGACATCATGTGTCATGCGTCGACATCATGTGTCATGCGTCGACATCATGTGCCATGCGTCGTCGACATCATGTGTCATGCGTCGACATCATGTGTCATGCGTCGACATCATGTGTCATGCGTCGACATCATGTGCCATACTCCATGCGCGATTCACCATGGCATGCCCTGCCTCCTCTCTCCAGCAAGCATCCATACATCTTGCTCCTCACATCCATTTCGGCCCTTTGCTGTCACGCCTACTCATTACACCAACTCCTCCTTCTCCTTCTGGTCCATCCTCGCCTCATCTTCTTCTCCCTCCCACCTCCACCCCCCCGCCCCCCTCCTCACCACATGTCAGCGAACGGCCTCGCAGGTCCCCCCTCCCACACCCAAAACTCACCTCGTCCCTCCTCCCACACCCACCCCTCCTCCCACACTAACCCCTCCTCCCACACCCACCCCTCCTCCCACACTAACCCCTCCTCCCACACCCACCCCTCCTCCCACACTAACCCCTCCTCCCACACCCACCCTCCCCCCTACCATGGTCTGCCAGTGATGTGTCAGTGAACGACCTCACAGGACCCCTGCCATCCAGCCTCGGGTTCACCGTAGATGCTATCAGCCCAAAATTGTGAGTCCCCTCTACTTCTCACCCCTCTGCTTCTGGTCCCTCTGCTTATGACCCCTCTGCTTCTGACCCGTCTGTTTCTCACCCCTCTGCTTCTCACCCCTCTGCTTCTGACCCCTCTGCTTCTGACCCCTCTGCTTCTGACCCCTCTGCTTCTGACCCGTCTGTTTCTCACCCCTCTGCTTCTCACCCCTCTGCTTCTGACCCCTCTGCTTCTGACCCCTCTGCTTCTGACCCCTCTGCTTCTGACCCCTCTGCTTCTGACCCCTCTGCTTCTGACCCCTCTGCTTCTGACCTCTCTGCTTTGAAGCCCTCCGCTTGTGAGGCACATTCTATCCCTTCCATCCAAATGCTTTTCTATCCAACCTGATCTCTATCCTCCTTTCCCTGCCTATCGATTCCCGTCACTGTGTGCTGCTGTGCTGTGCACCCCTGTCCCTCTGCTCCCGTGTCTGCCCATTGTGCCTCCCTGTCCATCCCTCTGCACCCCTGTTTGGCAGCAACACGTCATTCAACCGCCTCTCGGGGGAAATCCCCTTTGACTTCATCAATGTCAACTTCTACATTCTGTGCGTCACCCCTTCGCCTCCTTCATCCTGTGCTCGCCCCTCCCCCCTTGTTTCATGTGGTTCTTAAGAACTCTCGGAAACCACATGGAACAAATCTCCCTTCCCTCGTGTGAAAAGTCGATTTTTGGGTCGACTAAAAAATCGACTTTTAAGTCGACTAAAAGCTCGACTTTTGAGTCGACTAAAACTCGACTTTTGAGTCGACAAAAAAATCCACAAGCAACAAATCGCCCTTCCCTCCTCTCCCTTGAACAGTCCTTGGTCATCGAATAAATTTGTAAGAGCACAGCAAAGCCAGGTCCATAATGCGAATATCAACATCAGAACGAGACAAGCTGCTAGGAAAGCGGCCCAGAGGGCTGAGCTTTGGCAAGCCCCCACCACCCTCGCCCTCCATCTCTTCTTGAACCCAGGACTTGTTTTCGCACCCCCCACCCCCCCCATCTCGCAGTTCCCTCTCCCGAACCATTTCTCTGCTCTGTTTGAAGCGCCTCAAACGTGGCCCCTCCCCTGCCTTGGTTTCCCTCCCCAGCGACATCTCTCACAACAACTTATCGGGCCGAGCGTTCTTTTCCAAGCCAAATGGGGACCGTACTACTAACGCCATGTATGTGAGATATGTCAGTAGCTTGGTGGTGAGCGCGTGTACAGCACAGCACACTGATCATGAATGCGTGAGCAGTCAACCACAGCAACATACAATCACCAGCCACTGAATGTGACAACCCATTCTGCTCTGCACAATCTCTCCTTCCACCATCGCACCAACCACCATTCCTTCCCATCCGCTCGACACCCTCATTCTGCCACACTAGTGCAACCATTATGTCGGACACTCACCCATGCCTGTCCATCCATCCATCACTCTCCATTCCCGACCCTGTCTCCCTAACCCCCTGCACCCATCACAACCCTTCTTCATTCCCTCTGCACTGCTCGCCTCCTCCATCTGCCAGCAATTACTCGCACAACAGGTTCTCAGGAGCGCTCGACCCCTCCCTCTCCACCCTCACCAACCTCCTCGAGCTGTGCGTTGCCCTCACCTTACCACATCTCTGCCCTCCCGCCCTTCCCACCTGCCACCTCCGCATTGCCTTGCCCTTCCCACCTGTCTACGCACTATGCATATCCCTCTCTGTTGTCTTGTCCCTCACTCTCCTGCCTCACACCCATGCTTTCCTCAACCCCCTCCCCTCCCCCCCATTCCCTCTCTGTCTCTCCTATCACAGCCCCATGCCCCTCTGTATGGTATAGCTTCTCCTATCACCGCCCATACTCTCCTTGTTTCCTCCCCACCATATCCCTGTCCTCTCTCCCCCCACAGGGATATGTCAGGCAACCTTCTCACGGGGTCCATTCCAACCGTCATCTTTGAGGCGGCCCAGAAATTGAGGCGATTTTAGGGGCGCCTAACAACGTGTCCCTGTGTTCCCTCTTTCCCCCTCCCCCCAGGGACATGTCGGGCAACCTCCTCACAGGGTCCATTCCAGCCTTCATCTCACGCCTTACCGACCTCACTATGCTGTATGCTCTTGTTTTGCTTTGCGCCCTCGCTCTGGTGTCCATTATTCATGCGGGGGTGCATGCAATGCATGGGTGGTAGAGCAAGGTGGAGTGAGGATGTTCATTCTCACACTCCTTGCCGCTCCCCTTTCCCACAATGGCCTCTCTCCTCGCATGCACCCCTCTCCCTGCCCTCACTCCACTCCTCACCTCCACACCTCTCCCTGCCCACATTCCACTCCCAACCACCTCATTCCACCCCTCTCTCCCGCCCCTGTGGCCGCCCTCCCCACCTGCAGCGACCTCTCTTCCAACCAGTTCACTGGCACCGTCCCGCCAGCTGTCAGCAACCCCACTGGCCTCGTCAGCATGTGAGATGACTCGTCAGCAAATGTGACGTGCCATGTCAGCATGTGAGATGACGACATGTGTGTGAGCATGTGTGGTGGTATGTGCGTGTGTGACATTGCACGTATGGTACGTCTCTGTCACATCTTATCTTAATATTGGCAACTCCTGCTCCTACCCACCGCCACCCACCCATGTCTACCCCCGCCCACCCTCGTCCACCCCATTCTCCCCCCTTGACCAGCAACCTGGCGCACAACCTCCTGCAGGGCTCAATTCCCCGGGCTCTCTCGCGCCTCGCCTCCCTCACCTACCTGTGCGCCCTCCTCTCCCTTGCTCGCCACTGCTCCTGCTCACCATCTCATGTCTTGCTCCATGTCATGCACCACGTCATGCCATGCAATTTTACTCGATTCTTCGCACTGGCATGCCCACTTGCATGCCGTATGCCATACCTTGTGCGAAATATCATCACCTAATAACCTATACCCCATACTCCACACCCTGCGCTTCATTCCCTGTACCCTATGCCCCATGCATGCCCTCTCCCAGCAACGTGTCATCCAATCAGCTGTCAGGAGACATCACACCGGCACTCTCTCCTCTGCGCTCCCTCGAGATTGTGTGAGGCGCTCGTGTGGGCAGGGGCGTGGGGCTTGTTGCATGGAGCTTGTGGCATGGGGCATGGGACATGGTGCATGGGGCATGGGACATGGTGCATGGGGCATGGGCCATGGAGCATGAGGCACGGGGCATGGCACATTGGGCATGAGGCATGGGCAGGGCACGGTGCAGGGGGCACATTGTACCAGCTTACCACACCATTAATTTCCCTATGCTGTATCACTATGGGTGTTTTGCGTTCCTGCACTCCGCATTCTCGTATCCCCTTGCCTCCCATTGCTTCATCTCCCCTAAATCTCTGTCATTTACCCCCCATGCCCTGCCATTCTCCCCCATCCCTCCATCCCCCCATGCCCCGCACCGCAGTGACATCTCAGCCATCGAATTGAACGGCTCTGTTCCGCCCTTCTTTCGTCGCATGCCCAACATGACCCACCTGTATGATTCAGCATGACCCACCTGTATGATTCAGCATGACCCACCTGTATGGCATGACTCACCTGTATGGCATGACTCACCTGTATGGCATGACTCACCTGTATGGCATGACTCACCTGTATGGCATGACTCACCTGTATGGCATGACTCACCTGTATGGCATGACTCACCTGTATGGCATGACTCACCTGTATGGCATGACTCACCTGTATGGCATGACTCACCTGTATGGCATGACTCACCTGTATGGCATGACTCACCTGTTTGGCATGACTCACCTGTATGGCATGACTCACCTGTTTGGCATGACTCACCTGTATGGCATGACTCACCCGTTTGGCATGACTCACCTGTATGGCATGACTCACCTGTATGGCATGACTCACCTGTATGGCATGACTCACCTGTATGGCATGACTCACCTGTATGGCATGACTCACCTGTTTGGCATGACTCACCTGTATGGCATGACTCACCTGTATGGCATGACTCACCTGTATGGCATGACTCACCTGTATGGCATGACTCACCTGTATGGCATGACTCACCTGTATGGCATGACTCACCTGTATGGCATGACTCACCTGTATGGCATGACTCACCTGTATGGCATGACTCACCTGTATGGCATGACTCACCTGTATGGCATGACTCACCTGTATGGCATGACTCACCTGTATGGCATGACTCACCTGTATGGCATGACTCACCTGTATGGCATGACTCACCTGTTTGGCATGACTCACCTGTATGGCATGACTCACCTGTTTGGCATGACTCACCTGTATGGCATGACTCACCTGTTTGGCATGACTCACCTGTATGGCATGACTCACCTGTATGGCATGACTCACCTGTATGGCATGACTCACCTGTATGGCATGACTCACCTGTATGGCATGACTCACCTGTATGGCATGACTCACCTGTATGGCATGACTCACCTGTATGGCATGACTCACCTGTATGGCATGACTCACCTGTTTGGCATGACTCACCTGTATGGCATGACTCACCTGTTTGGCATGACTCACCTGTATGGCATGACTCACCTGTTGGCATGACTCACCTGTATGGCATGACTCACCTGTATGGCATGACTCACCTGTATGGCATGACCACCCTGTACTGCATTCCTCACCTGTATGGCATGACTCACCTGTATGGCATGACTCACCTGTATGGCATGACTCACCTGTATGGCATGACTCACCTGTATGGCATGACTCACCTGTATGGCATGACTCACCTGTATGGCATGACTCACCTGTATGGCATGACTCACCTGTATGGCATGACTCACCTGTATGGCATGACTCACCTGTATGGCATGACTCACCTGTTTGGCATGACTCACCTGTATGGCATGACTCACCTGTTTGGCATGACTCACCTGTATGGCATGACTCACCTGTTTGGCATGACTCACCTGTATGGCATGACTCACCTGTATGGCATGACTCACCTGTATGGCATGACTCACCTGTTTGGCATGACTCACCTGTATGGCATGACTCACCTGTATGGCATGACTCACCTGTATGGCATGACTCACCTGTATGGCATGACTCACCTGTATGGCATGACTCACCTGTATGGCATGACTCACCTGTATGGCATGACTCACCTGTATGGCATGACTCACCTGTATGGCATGACTCACCTGTATGGCATGACTCACCTGTATGGCATGACTCACCTGTATGGCATGACTCACCTGTATGGCATGACTCACCTGTTTGGCATGACTCACCTGTATGGCATGACTCACCTGTATGGCATGACTCACCTGTTTGGCATGACTCACCTGTATGGCATGACTCACCTGTATGGCATGACTCACCTGTATGGCATGACTCACCTGTATGGCATGACTCACCTGTATGGCATGACTCACCTGTATGGCATGACTCACCCGTTTGGCATGACTCACCTGTATGGCATGACTCACCTGTATGGCATGACTCACCTGTATGGCATGACTCACCTGTATGGCATGACTCACCTGTATGGCATGACTCACCTGTATGGCATGACTCACCTGTATGGCATGACTCACCTGTATGGCATGACTCACCTGTTTGGCATGACTCACCTGTATGGCATGACTCACCTGTATGGCATGACTCACCTGTTTGGCATGACTCACCTGTATGGCATGACTCACCTGTATGGCATGACTCACCTGTATGGCATGACTCACCTGTATGGCATGACTCACCTGTATGGCATGACTCACCTGTATGGCATGACTCACCTGTATGGCATGACTCACCTGTATGGCATGACTCACCTGTTTGGCATGACTCACCTGTATGGCATGACTCACCTGTATGGCATGACTCACCTGTATGGCATGACTCACCTGTATGGCATGACTCACCTGTTTGGCATGACTCACCTGTATGGCATGACTCACCTGTATAGCATGACTCACCTGTTTGGCATGACTCACCTGTATGGCATGACTCACCTGTATGGCATGACTCACCTGTTTGGCATGACTCACCTGTAGGGATGAGCAAGGTGGCGAACACCTGTTCGGTTCGCCTCGAACGTGTTCGAGGTGAACCGAACAGGTTTTGTTTTTTAGCTCAAATCGTTCGCCGAACAGTGTTTGATGTTCACCCGAACACGTTCGTGTTCGGGCCGCTGCTGAAATTTGCCCGCGACGAACACGAACAGTGTTCGAGGTTCGCCCGAACACGCCTCCACAGGCGAACAGCGAACACCTGTTTTTTCCTAAACTGTTCGCCGAACCGAACAGTGTTCGGTTCGGCAAAAGAGGGTGTTCGACAAGGGGCGAAGACGAACATGTTCGTGTTCGCCCTTTGCTCATCCCTACTCACCTGTATGGCATGACTCACCTGTATAGCATGACCCACTTGAATTTGAATGGCCACGACATGCCTATGTGCATGTATTTTTCCTATATGGACTTTGCATGCCTGTATGTAAACCACTATATTATTTCCCGTGGAGCATGTCGTGTTTTGACATGTCATGACAACTAATCTCAGCATGCCACGTCATGACATCTGATGTCAGCATGAGCCGCCCACCCAAGACCCACAGCAGAGACACATGGGCATCCATCCTCGCCCATGCCATTATCGTGTATGTACATTTACACGATACTGGCATGCCATGGGGCGACTGTGGTACAATCGCCCCATGGCCCCATGACCCATAACGAGGGCCCACCCCTTAACCTTGTCTGTGCCACGCCATGGCAGGGACATGTCCATCAACCTACTCTCCGGCTCACTGCCACCCTCGATCCTCAACCTGCGACAGCTCTCCCATCTGTCAGTCAACTTCCGTATCTATACCACCCATCAGTAATTTCGGCGTCAGAACAGCAGCTACTAGCAACCAGCCATTCATCTTCACCGTTGGTCCTCATGTAGTCTCACCTCCGCCCCTCTGTCCTCTCTCCCCCTGTCCTCTGCCACAACTCACCATGCCAGCAACGTGTCTCGCAACCGCCTCTCAGGCCCTCTGCCCAACGCTGCTGCCAGCCCAGCTCTCATCATGTGCGTATGCCCTGGTAACCACAAGAACCCTCGTAACCACAAGAACCCTGGTAACCACAATATCTCTGGTAACCACAAAGCCCTGGTAACTACCATTCCATTTGAATCTTGCGAGTAGGAACTCCCATCCCCTTCCCTCTCCCTCCCCTTTCCCTCCTGCACCCTTCCTTTCCTTGTGCGTGTTCTCTCACCCGTCGCTTTTTCTTCTCCCATTTCCGCCCACCCACGTGTCTCTCTCTCCCTTCTACTCCCATCCATGCTCTCTCCCATGTCTCCCTGAACACGCATCCAACACGCTCCCATCCCCTTCGCAGCGACCTCTCATTCAACGCGCTCTCAGGGCCGCTGGAGAGGCCCCATATCAACCTCAAGCGCCTGGCCATGCTGTGAGTGTGGAGCCATGCTGTGAGTGTGGGGCCATGCTGTGAGTGTGGGGCCATGCTGTGAGTGTGGGGCCATGCTGTGAGTGTGGGGCCATGCTGTGAGTGTGGGGCCATGCTGTGAGTGTGGGGCCATGCTGTGAGTGTGGGGCCATGCTGTGAGTGTGGGGCCATGCTGTGAGTGTGGGGCCATGCTGTGAGTGTGGGGCCATGCTGTGAGTGTGGGGCCATGCTGTGAGTGTGGGGCCATGCTGTGAGTGTGGGGCCATGCTGTGAGTGTGGGGCCATGCTGTGAGTGTGGGGCCATGCTGTGAGTGCCACCACATGCCGTTGCTCTTACTCTCATCAGCCCGGCTTTGATGCTCGTGCTGTCTTTGAGTCGTTTGTGCTCTTCTTGCTTTGCTTGCGTCCCCTGCCCCGCCATCGTGCATGCCTCCCCTTCTCGCCCACCCGCCCCCCATTCCTTCCCCCTGCCTCTCGTCCATCCCCCATGCGCCCTCTTGCTTCCCTTCCCGCCCAGCCCCCATTCCGCTCCTGCTCAGCCGCCCATCCCTGCTTCCCGTCCCCCCCCACCCTCCCCCTGCGTCCCGCCCCCCCCCACCCTCCCCTACTTTCCCTCCGCGTCCCCCCCCCCCCTGCTTTTCCTCCGCCCATGCCTGCAGGGCGGTGCACCACAACCAGCTCAGCGGCCCCATCCCCGAGTACCTCTGCCAATCCGTGCTGCAGATCATGTAACGCCCACACCCTAACGTTCACATGCTGTAACGTTCTCATGCACTAACGTTCACTAGGTGCAACGCGCTCATTATGCAATGTTTGGATAGTGTAATGCGCAGATGACTTAGCATTCACACAGTGTAGCATTCAGATTATGTTACCCTCAGGCCCAGTAGCAAGCAGGCAGGTATGAATGTGGGCATCCAGGTAGAGAGATGCCTTGGTGACAATAAAGGCTTGTCATCCATGCATGTCATTCATGTGAGATGCTCTTTATCGTGCAAGCAAAGGCTTGCACTGGTGACAATGCATTGCACAGGCGAAAACGCGTTGCACTTTCACCCTGCGCTAGTTGCCTCCTCCCTACTGCCATCCTTTTGGGTGCTGACATCTACCCACACCATCCATCTTGTTTGCTTCCTCACCCCTCGCTCCCCTCACCCTCTCCTCTTCTCTTGCGTTCTCCTATTGCCTCTTTTGCCCCATGTCTCCACCTGCCCACCTTCCCACCTTCCCACCTGCCCACCTTCCCACCTGCCCACCTTCCCACCTGCCCACCTTCCCACCTGCCCACCTTCCCACCTGCCCACCTTCCCACCTGCCCACCTTCCCACCTGCCCACCTTCCCACCTGCCCACCTTCCCACCTGCCCACCTTCCCACCTGCCCACCTTCCCACCTGCCCACCTTCCCACCTGCCCACCTTCCCACCTGCCCACCTTCCCACCTGCCCACCTTCCCACCTGCCCACCTTCCCACCTGCCCACCTTCCCACCTGCCCACCTTCCCACCTGCCCACCTTCCCATTTGCCCACCTTCCCATTTGCCCACCTTCCCACCTACCCACCTTCCCATTTGCCCACCTTCCCATTTGCCCACCTTCCCACCTGCCCACCTTCCCATTTGCCCACCTTCCCACCTGCCCACCTTCCCATTTGCCCACCTGCCTCCTCCGTCCACCTGCAGGCTCCTGAGCAGCAACGCCTTCTGGGGGGCCCTCCCTCAGTGCCTGCCCTTCCTCTCCTCCGTTCAACTCATGTCCGTTCTCCTATTCAGCCTTCGCCTTTCAACCTTTGCCCTTTGCCCTTTCAACCTTCGCCTTTCAACCTTCGCCCTTCGCCCTTTCAACCTTTGCCCTTTGCCCTTTCAACCTTCACCCTTCAACCTTCACCCTTCAACCTTCGCCCTTCGCCCTTTCAACCTTCGCCCTTCGCCCTTCAGTTTTGCCTCCTTCGCTCATCACCATGACGTTGTTCTCGTTCCTCTTTCTCCCCGCTGCTCCTCGTGTCGCACTCTCGTTTGTAAACCTGACCTCCAATTGTGCTGTGAATTCCTTGCCCTTACCTTCCACGCCATCTCCGCTCCTGACCTCTCTTCTTCCCCTTGACCCCTGCGCCCCCTTACTCTGCACCTGTCTCCCAGTGACGTCAGCAACAATCTGATCTTCATGGATGCCGCAACCTTCCAAAACATGCCGCCAATCAGCCTGGATCTCAGCGGCAACTACCTCTACGGCTCCCTCTCCCCCTCCCCCAACATCACCCTCTCCTCCTCCTCCTCCTCCTCCTCGCCACCCATCCCCTCTCTCGTCCTCCCTGCGACCCCCCAACCCCAGTCCCTTCCCCCCTGGGCAGTCCAGGATGCAACGAAATCTGAGTGGGCGTGGGTATGGCAGGGGGGGCAGCAGGGGGCAACTGGAGCAGGAGGGGCGAGCGGGGGGGATAGCAGCAGCGCAGCGGCGTGGCTGGCAGTGGAGGGCAACTGTGTGGGGAGTGAGGTTGTGGGGCAGCAGCGGGGGGCAACAGAGTGTGCGGCGGTGTGTGGGATAGAGCCAGGGCAGGGCCCCTGTGGGGGTGCGGGTGCGGGGCAGTGTGTGGTGCAGAGCAGTTGGCCACCGTCCCTCTCGTGCTCCTGTGCCAGTGGCTACGTTGCTGTCACTGCTGTCGGCACTGCCAATACCACCACTTGCCATCTGCCGCCCCCTTCCGGTATGTTAAAACAGTGGCTTGAGCTCTTGCCCCCCTATACAGTGTCTACCCAACCCTCTTTGCTGCCTTCTTTAGCTTCACTCCCACTCCATTTTTCCATTCCTTGGCAGTGGCCTCTCTGTCCACGGGTGCCATAGTGGGCATCGTTCTGGGCTGCTTTGCTGGCTTCACGCTACTGGCTGCTATGCTCGCATGGTTGCTGTGGCCCCGCGGACCAAGTAAGCCCCTCCACCCTCCTTCGGCTCCTTTCCGTCTCCCCTAATGTTGTACCTGCTTCCTGGCCTCCTTCTCTGCTTAATTTGCCTGCCGTTTTTCCTGCGTTACAACTTTGCCTTTCCACGACCCTCATGTTCTCTCCACTCATCTACACACTTGGTCACTCATTATTCTTGGTCGTTCTCTCCCACATCTGCTGTGTGCACAGAGAAGTGGGAGGGGTTGGATGTGTGCGAGCAGTTCTCGCTGCAGCAGATGCTCAAGGCCACCAGCAACTGGTCCGAGGACAATGTGCTGGGCAAGGGTGGCTTTGGCATTGTCTACAAAGGCTGCTCGCCGCAGGGGCAGCTGTGGGCCATCAAGCGCTCCACCATCATGACCAACGATTTTGAAACGGAGGTCAGGCATTCCTCTACTCCCTGTTTTCCCTCCACAGAGCACAGAAGTATAACGGTACTCTCTGTTGTCCAAAATGCTGACCTGCAGATTCCACGTTCGCCTGTCAATTTCCCTCTGCATCTGCCTGCATTGTGTTCCGTGTGCATGTTGCAGGTGCGAGCCATGGCCTCTCTCCACCACGTGCATCTGGTGCGCCTGCTGGGCTTCTGCCTGGACCAGAACGTGGAGACGGGCAGGCAGGAGCAGATTCTCGTGTACGAGTTCATAGACAACAGGGACCTCCAGTACCACATTCATGCCACCAAGCGTGAGTAGCACTCGCACGATGGCAAAATGGTTGCCAGACGTGTGTGTATATATATGTATATACATTCTGCACAGAGCATGACACCGTCTCTCATATAACTGCGCGTTCTGCTCCATGTACGTCTTTCCTGACCCAGGTCCGCTCTCTCTGCGCCAGAGGCTGCGCCTAGCACAGGGAACAGCAGAGGGCCTGGCATACCTGCACGGTTTTGACACGACCATCGTGCACCGCGACATCAAGCCGGCAAACATCCTCGTGACAGCCGACATGCAAGCCAAGGTGGCTGACTTTGGGCTGCTCAAGCGCCTCTCTCATGGCGATGCTGACGCCACACGAGTGGCCGGCACTCCGGGCTATGTGGACCCGGACTACAACCGCACCCACATCATCACAGCCAAGAGCGATGTGTTCAGGTTTGCATACACGCTCGTGCACAATCCCATGAACTGGTGCACCTCGCTTGTTTTCTGATCTTCCTGCTTGATGCTGAATACTTGTACCATGCACCTCTCTCTCTCTTTTATTTTTATTTTATACTTTGTTTTTTTTTTACTTTCCAATATTATTCCTCTGTGTCCAATGCATGATTGCTTGCAGCTTTGGAATCGTGCTGCTTCAGTTGCTAAGTGGAAATTCAACCCATGTTGGCGCTGACGAAAAAACGCATATAAGAAAATGGGTACGATCGTCAAGTACGAAATCCAAGGTTCCAGTTGGCGCAAATATGAATGTTGAATATCAGAGAATTTTTGTGCCCATCACAACAACTCAAATCTGTCTTTTCATTTCTTTCATGGCTGCACGTTTATCCCGAGTTCCCATTTATTCTGGATATCCTGCCTTTCCTCGCTGTCACGCTGCCTTCCACCACATTTCCTGCTTGTCATGCTGTATATCACTGCCTCCCCCATGCATCATCCTTTCCTTGTGTGGATGCCCTGCAGGCGATGAAGAGGGTGGAGGCGTATGAGCTAGAGGAGCTGAGGGACAGCAAGATGCCAGCGGTCAGTGAGGAGGCGATAGTGGACTTTGCAGACCTGGCTCTGGACTGCATCAAGTCTCCCGGCACACGACGACCCACCATGAAGGATGTGGCATACCGCCTCAGTGCCCTCATTGCCAAGCACTGCCCCGACAAGGAGGACGAGTGGGAAAGTGTTGTGAGAGACGAGAGTGCAAGCAATGAGGGTGTGTCTTCAGGAGATGTTTCTGCTATGTTGTTTGGAGATGGTGGGAGGGAGCCCGAGGGGTCTGATGGCTCACACTCTGGTGTGAGCTCATTCATCCTTGGCTCGATGGGTGATGGCCTCTTGAGTTGGCTGCAATTGAAGCCAACCAAAGGGCGCTGAGTTTGCCCATTATGCCTATATGAGGGTTCAGGGTTTAGAAGATTACCTTATTCTCCTGAGGCCTGACTAGGTGTCAAATGGTCTAAAAGAACTTGGTGTTTGTCCTTGAGACTTGTCTACCCGTGTTCCCGTATCCTCGTATCCCCATGCTGTGTTGATGTGGTGTTGCAGCAGCACATGCTTGGTCCATGTTGCAGTTAAAGCTGCAGTATACATTTGTCATTGGGGTTTAGGGTTTGTATAGTGTGCCTCACAGCTTAGAGGCAACTTGTTGAGTTCCTAAGGATTTTGAGCCTCTCCTTTCAAATGTATACTGGAGCTGTAAGTAGAAATTAGTCAGGAAATCGTAGAAGTTATAAGGGCGCGTGAGGTCTTTGAAATTTGTAAAAGTTTATGTTTTTAGGGCGAATTTTAGTTTTGAACTTACAACGAAAGAAGTTCTAATTTCCTTCTATCGAAGTTCGAACATCGGGCTTACCACACTGTAAAAAATCACACACATGTATAAGGTAGAACCCCGACATTCGAACTTGTAAAAACGAGTCGAGCCGCACGTCAACATTATGTTACCCGGTTCGCTCGTCTTGACAGTGCGCCACGTCAACATTTTGCCCCTCGGTTTATAAGGACCTAGAGCTCCAACTTACCTTCCGCGCCAAGTGTGTAACCAGGGTACAAATAGCCCCCGTAGCAACACCTTGTATACTCGTCATTCGCCCGCGTTGCCACATTGTGCTTGAACGTGCCACGATGCTGGACACGTGGCTACCACTGTGTGCACGAATTGTGGGGTGTCTTCGTTGTGCAACTTCATGCACTGGCGAAGCGCTCGCCCGTTTCGCCAGCTGTTCGGACGTGCTGCAAATCACACACGCTCGCATGAACGTGCGCACGCACGTTTCCGCCTCCGACTCGAGTCAAGTTCATATTTCAAACTCGAACTTTTGCAGAGCCCATACAATGCTTGGTTCGCGAAGCACCCTTTGCGAAATTAGCGAATAGGGTAACCACCCAAAGTTCAAACTTTATTTTGAACTTCTAAACAGACCACACGCGCCCTAAAGTTTGAGCTCTAATTTGCATCACACACTTATTATGAGCGTATTTCGTTGGGCCCAACCGGTTTGGTTCGGACATCTTGAACGTTGTCTTTCTCCCTCGATGTTGCATTCGTTCCGAGCCTCGCCTCGGCTCGCCGTCAGTCTCCTTACCAGCCGCCCCAAGCCAAACATTGCTTTGGGATCGCTTCGCATGCCCTGGCCTGGTTGGGTTAGGGCCGCCGCCGCATTGCCGCAGCTGGCAGCAAGACTTTTTCCTCACTTGAAAACCGAGCCTACAGTACGACCCATGCCACTTGCTCTGCCGTGCGGCCATGAACAGACTGGCTTTTTCAAACTCGCGGTAGAGGAGCCATGGCTTTCTGTGCTTGCACGAAACTGTAGTGTTTTGCCATGTTGCTATTGTATGAAATGGCATTCCTAACTCCATAAAAGTGACTTCTGAACATGTTTGGTCGTCACCGTGCGAGGTCGTTGGAGGATGCACCGTGATTGGAGAATGCATTATCGTTCACTGTCGCAGAGACTCCATCTGCGGTCGCATAGTAAGAAGCGGTGATTCGTAACAACCTGGAACGTCTTTTGACCATAGCTCGCTTCGCCTGACAGCGCATTGTGCACTACTGCACCACCGTGGCGACCACATGCGTTTTGGCGTGCAGAGTATGAATCACGGGTCCCGCTAACGCTCTTCGAAAAGGAAAAGGGACGGTTCATTCGGAGTGAAAGCTTTAGGCTGGATGAGAGTGACTGGAAAAGGCTTGAATTCCAAGACTTGTCACTTTTTTTTCTGGCTCGACTTCTACGCTCCGGCTGCAAGGATGAGTCCTTGGAAATTAGATCTAATTTTCCAAAAAAAGTAATGCTGTTGCTTTGCTGCACATCACACCTGATCTTGCAGCCTGATATCCTAACAGCCTGACAGCCTCTACGAACGACTATTGAAGGACCAAGTCGGCTTCCGTCGTTGCCAAAAGTGCGTGTAGATTATTCACGCAACTCCCCCGCAAACATTGGTTTGGAATCCGCCGTAGGATTCGTTATTCGGGTGAATCGATGGCTTCCAAGGGAAGCGCGTTGGTGGTAGCGGCTGTGCTGCAGCTGCTGCTACTACTGGCGGGTAACGCCGTGCCGAGTGTGGGTCAGGACACGAGCCTGCAGCAGTGCTTCTGGCCGCTCAATTCCACGGAGGGTACGCTCTCTCTCTCTCGAACGGCCTCTCGCGCATGTCGGCACCCTTTCAAGCGACATCAGCTTCGTTTTACGCTTGTTCGACTTTTATCTCTCTGCGTTTCACGCAATGTCAGCTTCGGTCCTCAGTATCTCAAGACATCGTGGCCCATGGCGGGTTCGGTTCTCAGTATTTTAAGCAATGTCGGTTTCGCATTTCAGTATTTCACGCTATGTCAGCTTGGTATCGCACGACCTTAGCTCGATTTTATTATGCGACGTAACATCGCTCTCACGCGTTCCCAACTGTAACGTGCTTAATCTGGTGCTTCTTCTTCGCAGCGAGTATTCTGGCGGACGTGGGAGCGAATCTGGACTACTTTCCGTACGACATGTCCTTTATCACCACCTGCGTCAATGTCGGCCTCACCTGCAGCGACGCTGGCTACGTCACTGGAATGTCAGTGCTGCTGCTGCTGTTGTGCTCATGCCATTCGGGTGCTAATGCCCAGGTTGGGTTATTTTTCCTGTTGAAATAGCAGGAGTGCGAGATGTGTGTGAGTGACACTTTCTTGCCTTGTCTTGTGGCGGTCGTGCCTGCAGCAATTGGCAGTACAAGGCAATTCAAGGGGAGCTGCCTTCACAGATTTTCCAGCTAGTGCACCTTGAATACCTGTGAGCGTCCGCGTTTGAAGCACCTTCAATGCATGTGCGCGTCCGCGTTTGAAGCACCTTCAATGCATGTGCGTGTCCGCGTTTGAAGCACCTTGAATACCTGTGAGCGTCTGTGCTTGAATCACCTTAGATATTTGTTGGATTCCGCGCCTGAAGCACCTTAACCGTGGCTACCCGCAGGACTCTACGCGACAACTATCTGCGTGGCTCAATCCCTTCTGAAATCGGCAACCTTGTCAATCTCACATTATTGTCAGTTAACGTCGCCCTAACTTGGTCCTTCTCTCAATTGAACGTCGGCCCTCTGTCAGCTAACGTTGTCCCTTTATCAGTTAATGGCCCCCACGTTGTTTACTTCTGTTTGGCCGTCAGTTACGTTCTGCCATTGGCCAGTAAACTTCGCCCATCTGTCAGTACTACTAATGCTCGCATGTAAATTCTCTAACGTGCTCTCTCATTGCGGGTTCCGTGAATGCATGTGTGCGAATGTGTGCGTGTGCGTGTGCGTGCGTGTGCGTGTGCGTGTGTGCATACATGTGTGCGAGTGTGTGCATACATGTGTGCGAGTGTGTGCATACATGTGTGCGAGTGTGTGCATACATGTGTACGAGTGTGTGCATGCATGTGTGCGCGTGTGTGCATGCATGTTTGCAAATGTGTGAACACTGGTGTGCGTGTGCGAGTGTGCATGCATGGATGGCAGGGACCTCACCAACAACTCCTTCTCAGGTCCCTTCCCCACCTTCTTCAGCAAGCTCACCAAGCTCTCCTACCTGTAAGACGGCATTTCCCCCGTGCATTCACTACATTTGCGTCCCTGTCAGTCGCATTTCGTCCCTGTCAGTCGCATTTCGTCCATGTCAGTCGCATTTCGTCCCTGTCAGTCGCACTTCGTCCCTGTCAGTCGCATTTCGTCCATGTCAGTTGCCTTGTCCACATCAATCGCATTCTTGTGGTGGGTCGGCTTCGACTCTACCCGCTATCATCCTATGTCCTGCCATGCCATGCCATGCCGTGCCATGCCGTGCCATGCCATGCCCTGCCTACCAGGTACATGGGATTGAACAAGTTTACCGGCAGCCTTCCTGAAGCCATTGGCAACATGGTCTCTCTCGGCGACCTGTACGTACGTGTGTCATCAAGCATATACGTGTGTGCCGCCCGGTACGTACGTGTGTGCGCCGCCCACCATGCACTTACGTACTTGATCCAACCATCCCATATTCCATCAGTATCACACCTCGCCCTCCCTCCCTCCCTTCCTTTGCATCCTCTCCTCCCAAAACCCATACCCTCCATCTTTTCCCTCTCCCTCTCCTCATATGCACTCCCTCCACATCATCTCCCCCCTCCCCTTCCTCTGCCTTCACAGCTCCCTGTTCGATAATGAGCTCTCGGGTACTCTGCCCTCTTCTATAGGCCGCCTTACCAATCTCTACAACTTGTGAGCCACCCGTTGCTTGCAGCAGTGCGTGTGAAACAGCAATTGCAACAGGGCATATGAGCGGCCATGTGATGAGATGTGATGTGATGTGATGAGATGTGATGTGATGTGATGTGATGCGATGCGATGTGATGCGATGCGATGCGATGCGATGCGATGGGATGCGATGGGATGTGATGGGATGTGATGGGATGCGATGCGATGCGATGTGATGTGATGTGATGTGATGTGATGTGATGTGATGTGATGTGATGTGAGTGGTCCTGTCCTCCGATACTGCACTTGTCAGTTTTGCAGCTCGTGAAGGCTTTTCAACGCTGAGGTCGGCCCATATCTTACCATTTCTCTCAAGCTTCGTGTCTCATCTCATTCACCTTCTTTCTCAATCATTCTAATCTCAGTCGTATCCATCTCATCCCTGCGTGTGTGTGCCCACTGCCCCCCATGCGCATGACTGCGTGCAGGGCACTGTCAAGGAACCGCCTGTCAGGGACTCTCCCCAACTCTTTCTCCAACATGCCCAGCCTCGGCTCCATGTGAGTCGCAGCTCCATGTGGGTCGCAGCTCCATGTGGGTCGCAGCTCCATGTGGGTCGCAGTTGCTTGCCACGCCATGCCATGCTATGCCATCCCATGCTACACCATGCCATGCCATCCCATAGGCACCGCCATGAACTGCCACCATCCTGCCAATCAACCTGCATCCATCATACCACTCGCCTGCCATTTCTGCCACGGAGCAGCGTAGCAGCAAACCCCTCTGCCAGCGTAACCTACACCTCCTCGCTTTTCACCGTATTGACTGTCTCCCCACACACCCATCCACCCCTCCACCCCACATCCCCATGCCCCACTCCCCATAGCTTACACCCCCAGATGCCCCATGCCTCACAACCCCATGCACCGTACCCCATGCCTCACAACCCCATGCACCCCATGCACCACACCCCATGCACCACACCCCATGCACCGCACCCCATGCACCCCCCCCTCCACGACAGTCTACTGGACAGCAACATGTTGACGAAGTTGCTAGCTCCCCTCGCTGCTTTTGAGCCGCCCCAAAGGATTCCATGCCCCCCCCCCCCCCCCCCCCACGGCAGCCTACTGGAAAAAAACATGTTTACGGGGTCGCTGGCTCCCCTCGCTGATGTCTCCTCCCTCAGCGCCATGTGAGCACTTCTCTCCTCCCTCACCACTCACTTCACCACTCACCTAGTCAGTCAGCTAGTTAGTTAGCTCGTCAGTCTCACAGAATCATTCTGTCAACTGTTGGCCTCACACAGAGAAAGAAGATAACTTTGTTTTTTTTTTATTTGCTTCACCTGTGCCCCTACAGGAGGATCTGCACAAAACCGTCACAGTTAGGTTCAATCTGTTCTCTTCTTTTCCATATCATATCTCTCCTCGTAGACCCTATGCATACCAAAACGTCGTCCTTCCCACCTTCCGAAAAGTCTTCCCCGCTCTGTCAATCTCTCATTCGTGTATCTCCCCATGCCCACCCTCAGCTTCCTGTGCTGCAACCGCTTCAATGGGACCATACCGCCCACCTTCTCCTCCAATGTCTTCACTGACATGTACGCCTTTTGCTACACCTGCCATGTGCTGTGCCGTATCTCATGTGCCATGCGCCATGCGCCATGCGCCATGTTCTTTTAAGGCGCCTCAAAAGGTTTCAATGGGGCCATACTGGCCACCTCTCGCCAGCAAGCGCATCCCGTATCGGCATCTTCCCTTTCTCCATCCCATCTCAGGCCCTTGATGGCACGCCACTCAACACACCATCTTCTCTCTTTTCCCCCTACCTTATCCACACCCACCCCCACCCCTCCCCCCCAATCATGGCCTACCAGTGACGTGTCAGTGAACGGTCTCACAGGGCCACTGCCATCCTTCTTTGAGTCGACTGAAACTGTCCTCCCTCCTCCCACACCCACCCCTCCCCCCCAATCACCGTCTACCAGTGACGTGTCAGTCAACGACCTGACAGGGCCCCTGCCATCCGGCCTCAGGTTCTCCGAACCTCCTGGCGGCCCGAATTTGTGAGCCTTTCTAGAACTAAGCCCTTGGCTTCTGAGCCATGAATTTCTGGAGGAACTTTCTTTCCTCCCATCAAAATGTCTGTCCTCCCATCCATCCAAATCTCGCTCCTCCATTCCAACTTTCCTTCCTCTCATCCAAATCACTTTCCTCGTGCCCCTGTCATTTTCATCCAGTCTCTGTGTGCCTCTGTGCGTCCCTGGGCACCCATATGCGCCCCTGCCCCCTCCCCTGTGCGGCCCGGTGTGTCCATGCACCAGCAACGCATCATTCAACCGCCTCTCGGGGGAAATCCCCTTCGACTTCAACGTCAATTTCTTCTTCACCCTGTACGTTGCCCTTGACATTTCTGATGCACTTTCCCCTCCTTGCACTGCTGAGAACTCTCCAAAGCCACATGCAACAGGTCGGCGTTTCCTCCTCTCCCTTGAAAAAACTGTGGGCATTCAAATGGAATATGAAGAGCACAGCAAAGCTGGGGTCGTGATGTGAGAAACACCACCAAAACTAGGCAATCTGCTATCTCTCAGAAGGCAATCTGCTATCTCTCAGAAGGCAATCTGCTATCTCTCAGAAGGCAATCTGCTATCTCTCAGAAGGCAATCTGCTATCTCTCAGAAGGCAATCTGCTATCTCTCAGAAGGCAATCTGCTATCTCTCAGAAGGCAATCTGCTATCTCTCAGAAGGCAATCTGCTATCTCTCAGAAGGCAATCTGCTATCTCTCAGAAGGCAATCTGCTATCTCTCAGAAGGCAATCTGCTATCTCTCAGAAGGCAATCTGCTATCTCTCAGAAGGCAATCTGCTATCTCTCAGAAGGCAATCTGCTATCTCTCAGAAGGCAATCTGCTATCTCTCAGAAGGCAATCTGCTATCTCTCAGAAGGCAATCTGCTATCTCTCAGAAGGCAATCTGCTATCTCTCAGAAGGCAATCTGCTATCTCTCAGAAGGCAATCTGCTATCTCTCAGAAGGCAATCTGCTATCTCTCAGAAGGCAATCTGCTATCTCTCAGAAGGCAATCTGCTATCTCTCAGAAGGCAATCTGCTATCTCTCAGAAGGCAATCTGCTATCTCTCAGAAGGCAATCTGCTATCTCTCAGAAGGCAATCTGCTATCTCTCAGAAGGCAATCTGCTATCTCTCAGAAGGCAATCTGCTATCTCTCAGAAGGCAATCTGCTATCTCTCAGAAGGCAATCTGCTATCTCTCAGAAGGCAATCTGCTATCTCTCAGAAGGCAATCTGCTATCTCTCAGAAGGCAATCTGCTATCTCTCAGAAGGCAATCTGCTATCTCTCAGAAGGCAATCTGCTATCTCTCAGAGAGCTGAGCCTTTGGCAAGCCCCCACCACCGTCGCCATCCACCTCTCGCCTAACCCAAGCCTTACCTTACCCACCCCCTAACCTTGACGCCACCCTTCCCCCCCCCACCCCCACCCTCACTCTCCCCCTTTTCCCCACTCCAAAACCCTCTCTACACGTTTTAAGGAAGCTGTTTTTCGCATGGCACGTTGTCTGCTCTTTTTGAAGTGCTAAAATGCTGCCCGTCCCGTGTGTTTGTTCCCCTTCCCAGTGACATCTCTCACAACAATTTGTCGGGCAGAGCGTTCTTTTCGGGGCAACAGGAGAGTCCTAAAACTTTCACCATGTGCGTGAGATGTTTATGCAGCATGGTGGTGAATGCGTGAGCAGCAGTCACCCACAGCAACGCATGGGCATCAGCCATTGACTCTGTGACAAACTGTGCCAACCATTCTGCACAGTCAATCCGTCCACCATCGCACCAAGCACCATTCCTTCCCATCATCTCAACAACCTCATCCCCTCACACCAGTGCAACCATTCTCTCTCACACACACCCATGCCTGCTCTTTCATCCACCACTCTCCGCTCCCCACCGTGTCTCCCAACCCCCCTGCACCCATCACCATCCCCTCTTCCCTCCCGTTCATCCCCTTGGTACTGTTCTCCTCCATCCGCCAGCAACTATTCACACAACAGATTCTCAGGAGCGATCGACCCCTCCCTCTCCACGCTCACGTACCTCCACGACCTGTGCGTTGCCCTGCCTGCCTGCCCTTCCCACCACTCTGATCGTTTTTTTTGCTCTTTGTTTTCCCAAACATCGCTCGTTCTGAAAACCTGCAGCCTCGCCTTCGCATCCCTCGATTCGCTGTGTCAAACACATGGATTCCCCCTGCACGGATTCCCCCTGCACGGATTCCCCCTGCACGGATTCCCCCTGCACGGATTCCCCCTGCACGGATTCCCCCTGCACGGATTCCCCCTGCACGGATTCCCCCTGCATGGATTCCCCCTGCATGGATTCCGCCTGCACCGAGTCCGCCTGCACCGAGTCTGCCTGCACCGAGTCCGCCTGCACTGTCCACCCCTCACCAGTTGCACTCGTCTACCTCTCCTCCGCTATCAGCGCCCATGCTCTCCTCGTCTCCCGACCACCGGGTCCCTCTGCCCCCTCTGCCCCCGCCATTGCCTCAGGAACATGTCCGGCAACCTTCTCACGGGGTCCATTCCAGCCTTCATTTCGCTCCTCACCAACCTCACTCTGCTGTATGCCCTCACTCACTCTGCTGTATGCCCTCACTCACTCTGCTGTATGCCCTCACTCACTCTGCTGTATGCCCTCACTCACTCTGCTGTATGCCCTCACTCACTCTGCTGTGTACTATGCATGCATGGGGCCAATGGCTGTGGGTGGGAGAGCCAGCTGGAGTGAAGAGAAGAGAGTATCTCACTTCACTTTTTCTCGCCTTGCATGTGCCCCCATCCGCCTCTCTCCCGTACTCACTGCCATCACCCCTCTTTCCACTCTTTACCTCGACGCCTCTCACTTTCCTCTCCCCTGCCCCCGTGGCCTCCCTCCCCACCTGCAGCGACCTCTCCTCCAACCAGTTGACTGGGGCCGTGCCGCCAGCTATCAGCAACCCCACTAACCTCGTCAGCATGTGAGATGACATGTCAGCATATGAGGTGACATGTCAGCATGTGAGGTGCCACGTCCGCATGTGAGTTGGCATGTTGAGCATGTTCGGTGGTGTTAGCTCGTAGGACATTGTACATCAGATTACAAGGCACATCTCTGTCACCTCTTAATACGGACAACTCCTGCTCCTACCCACCGTGCCCACTCCTACCCGCCCCTACCCACCCCCGCCCACCGCGTCCCCCCCTATGACCAGCAACCTGGCACACAACCTGCTGCAGGGCTCCATTCCCCGGGCCCTCTCCCGCCTCGCCTCCCTCACCTACCTGTGCGCCCTCCTCTCCCTTGCTTGCCTCTGCTGCTTCTCGTCATGCCATGCCACGCTCCATGTCATGCCATGTCCGTCCACCCAATTCTCCCAGTGACACGCCCACCAGTGTTCCATACGCCATGCCTTGTGCAAAAACCATCACTTGATGCCCTATACCCCATATTCCACACCCTTAACTTCATACCCCAAACCCCATGCCCCATGCATGCCCCCTCCCAGCAACGTGTCGTCCAATCAGCTGTCAGGAGACATCACACCGGCCCTCTCTCCTCTGCGCTCCCTCGAGATTGTGTGAGGCGCTCGTGTGGGCAGGGGCGTGGGGCTTGTTGCATGGGGCTGGTGGCATGGGGCATGGGGCATGGTGCATGGAGCGTGGGTCATGGAGCGTGGGTCATTGGGCATGGTGCGTGGGCCGTGGGCGTGGGGCATGATACATGGGCAGGGGGCACATTGTACCAGCTTAGCACACCATTGATTTCCCCATGCTATATCACCGTTGCTCTACAACCCCCCCTCATTTTCCCGTCTCCCCTCAACTCCCATCGCTTCATCTCCCCCAAATCCCGGTCATATACCCCCCATGCCCTGCCATTCTCCCCCATCCCCCCATGCCCCGCAGTGACATCTCATCCAACACATTGAATGGCTCTGTTCCGCCCTTCTTTGGTCGCATGCCCAACATGACCCACCTGTATGTATCAGCATAACACATATGTATGGCGCAGCAAACCAGTTCTAAACGTGGAGCATGCCATGTCATCCTATGTTAGGCCAGGTCATCCTATCCCATGCCAGCCCTGTCATGACAGTACACGGCCATCCGTGTGGCCATCCGTGTGGCCATCCGTCCCCCTGCTTTCACGCGAGCCAGAACATGTGCATCTGCATCATCCACCCATGGCCCCATGCCCCCCAGCGACCATAATATGTCCATTGCCTCACCTTGCCCATCCCATGCCACGCCATGCCATGCCACACCACGCCATGCCACGCCACGCCATGCCATCCACGCCACACCACAGCATGCTATGGCAGGGACATGGCCATCAACCACCCACCCATGGCCCCATGACCTGCTGTGGCCATAGCATGTCTACTCCCTATCTTCTCCACGGCTCCTCTTGCCACGCCATCACTATGGCAGGGACATGGCCATCAACCTGCTCTCCGGCTCGGTGCCTCCCTCGATTTTCAACCTGCGACGCCTCTCCCACCTGTCAGTCAACTTCCCTATCTATACCCACCACCATTAATTTCTTGTATCTAGCAACCAGCCATTCATCTTGGATTTCTGCCCCTTCGCCATCCATCCTCACATTGTCCCCCCTCCTCCCCTCCACCCTTTCTCCCTCTCTCTGTCCTCTGCTACCGCCCATCATCCCAGCAACGTGTCTCGCAACCGCCTCTCAGGCCCTCTGCCCAACGCTGCTGCCAGCCCAGCTCTCATCATGTGCGTATGCCCAAGTAACGATTAGGGCCCTGGTAACCACGAGAGCCCTGGTAACCACGAGGGCCCTGGTAAACACGAGGGCCCTGGTAACCACGAGGGCCCTGGTAACCATGAAAGCCCTGCCAATCTACCATTTGAATTGTGTAAGTCAATATCTCCATCCCCTCTCCCCCCCTTCTCATCCTGCACCCTCCCTTTCCTTGTGCTGGTTTTCTCAACCCTCCTCGCTTTCTTCGTCCTCCCATTTCCTCCCAACCACGTGTCCCTTCTCCCCATTTCCGCCCACCCATGTCTCTCTCCCCTCTCTCTTCCACAGCGACCTCTCATTCAACACGCTCTCAGGGACGCTGGAGAGCCAGCAAGTCAACCTGAAGCGACTGGCATTGCTGTGAGTGCCACCACGTGCTGTTCCTCTCACTGTCGTGCGCCAGCTTCTCTGCTTGTGTGACTTTGAGCTGCACTCCTCTCGCTTCCTCGTCTTGCTTGGCTCGCTCTGTGCTCTTTCTCTCCCCTGCCCCGCGCATGCCTCCCCCCAGTTCTTGCCCAGCCAGCCCCTATTGGCCCCCTCGCTTCCCGCCCGCCAACCTTCCATGCCCCAACCTCTCAGCCAACCCATGTTGCCTCCTTTGCTCCATCGTGCTTCCTACCCGTCCCTGCTGGCAGGGCGGTGCACCACAACCAGATCTCTGGCCTCATTCCCCATGCGCCCTCCTGCTTCCTGCCCACCCAACCCAACCCTCATGCCCAACCCCCGTCCCCAACCCAACCCCCATGCTCAACCCCCATGCCCTACCCCCATGCTTCTCCCTGCAGGGCAGTGCACCACAACCAGCTGTCAGGCCCCATCCCCGAGTACCTCTGCCAATCAGTGCTACAGATCATGTAACGCCCACGCCTCAATCCCTGTACCATTCACACTATGCTAGTCGCTCCGATGATTTCGCAGTCACTCTGCGCTGGCTGCCTTGTCTCTTTCGGGTTCTGTCATGACTCCTTCAACACACACCATCCATCTTGTTTGTTTCCTCACCTCCTCGCTCCCCTCAACCACTTCCTTTCTCCCACGTTCTCGTGTTGACTCTTTGGACCCACCTCCCATATACCCTCCACTCCCCACCTCCTCCACCTCCCATACCCCCTTTTCCACCTCCCCATCTGCCCTTCTGTCCACCTGCAGGCTCCTGAGCAGCAACGCCTTCTCGGGAGCCCTTCCTCAGTGTCTGCCCTTCATCTCCTCCGTCCAACTCATGTCCGTTCCACCCGTCATCCTTCACCTTTCCTCGTCCCCCTTGACTCTGTTCCTCCTCCTGTTGTTACGTTGAAACTGCTTCCTAACCTTCCCAGCCAGCCTCTGCTCCCAGTCTTTCATCTCTGCCCTGCCCCCCTGCCCCCCCTTTCTCTGCGCCTGTCCTGTCTCCCAGTGACGTCAGCAACAATTTGCTCTTCATGGATGCCGCATCCTTCCAAAACATGCCGCCCATCAGCCTGGACCTCAGCGGCAACTACCTCTATGGCTCCCTCTCCCCCTCCCCCAACATCACCCTCTCCTCCTCCTCCTCCTCCTCCTCCTCCTCCTCCTCCTCCTCCTCCTCCTCCTCCTCCTCCTCCTCGCCGCCCATCCCCTCTCTCGTCCTCCCAGCGACCCCCCAACCCCAGTCCCTTCCCCCCTGGGCAGTCCAGGATGCAACGAACTCTGAGTGGGCGTGGGTATGGCAGGGGGGGCAGCAGGGGGCAACTGGAGCAGGAGGGGCGAGCGGGGGGAATATTAGCAGCGCAGCGGCGTGGCTGGCAGTGGAGGGCAACTGTTTGGGGAGTGAGGTTGTGGGGCAGCAACGTGGAGCAACAGAGTGTGCGGCGGTGTGTGGGATAGAGCCAGGGCAGGGCCCCTGTGGGGGTGCGGGTGCGGGGCAGTGTGTGGTGCAGAGCGGTTGGCCACCGTCCCTCTCCTGCTCCTGCGCCAGTGGCTACGTTGCTGTCACTGCTGCCGGCACTGCCAACACCACCACTTGCGAGCTGCCACCCCCTTCCCCTTCCAGTATGTTCAGTCAGTGGCTTGGGCTGGTCTCCCAGCTTCTCAGCAAATGGTTTGAGACGTCTCAAAACACTTCTTTTATCGCGTGGGCTGCTGTCCCGGCTTCCCAGCAGATAATCGCCTCCGCTTGCGTGCTTTTATTTGCACCACACAGCCCCCTCTCCCCCTGTCTCTTAGTCGTATCAACCCCCTCCATCCATCCCTCTCCATTCTCCCCCACTCGCCCCCTCCGCAGCGTCCTCGTCGGGGCTGTCAGCAGGGGCGGTGGCGGGCATAGTGGTGGGCACTCTGCTGCTGCTCGCTACTCCCCTCTATCCCCCATCTCCCTTCCTCCCACTCCACACCCCCCTCCTCTCTCTCTGCAGCGTCCTCGTCGGGGCTGTCAGCAGGGGCGGTGGCGGGCATAGTGGTGGGCGTTGTGCTGCTGCTCGCAGCTGTCGCTGGCCTTCTCTTCTTCTTCCTCCGCCCCTCTAAGAGAAGTCAGTCAGAATCACCACCTTGCACCACCTTTGCACCACCTTGCACCACCTTGCACCACCTTTGTTCTTCCTTGCGTCGCTCTCATTGCACCTACAACAGTATCGAACCGCATCACACCAACACCTCACCGCATCAAACCGACACCTCACCGCATCACACCTCATCACACCTCATCACACCTCGCCATCACCAACCTTCACAGGTCAGGCCCTGCATCGTCTTGACTCTTCACCATCTTCCACTCCCTCTGCCCCCGCTCCCACTTCCCGCTTCTCCACCCCTCACCCCATCTCTCATGGTCGTTGGACCTGGACCAGTGTGTGTGGCGCCACCAACGGCTTCTCCTTGCCCTGTTTGGCACATCACTCACTCTTTCCTCTCCCTCCCAAACCCACCTCCCTCCCACCTCAGGGTCGTTGGATTTGGACCAGTGTGTGGCGTTCCGCATAGAGGATATACGCCGCGCCACCAACAACTTCTCCCCGGAAAGCAAGCTGGGTGAGGGTGGCTTCGGAAGCGTCTTCAAGGGCACCGCCCCCGACGGCACCCTGTGGGCCATCAAGCGCGCCAAGTTCCTCACCAACGACTTCGAGAAGGAGGTGCGTGAGAGGGGGGAGGGAGGGAAAGAGTGGAGGGTTTGAAGGTGGGTACGTAAGGGAGTGATATGAGGCACCCTGTGGGCCATCAAGTGCGCCAAGTTCCTCACCCACGACTTTGAGAACGAGGTGAGACGAGGGGAGGAAGGGAGGGAGAGAAGGAGGGGGAATGTGGGCACGGAGGGGAGCGGAAGTAGGCATATTTCGAATGAGCGTTTGAAACGCGAGTGCAGGAGATTGGTGAGAGCAGGAATATAGTGTGCCTTATCTCTTGTCATATTCCATCATGTCTGTTTGTCCCTGTCACTCCATCCCTCATCCCTCCTCCCCACCACCCCTCGCGCAGGTGCGAGCAGTGGCGACGCTGCGGCACCAGCATCTGGTGCAGCTGCTGGGGTACTGCATGGATTACAATGCGGCCACGGGCCACCAGGAGCACCAATCCACCATCCCTCCCCCGTCCCCCCTCCCCACCCAACCCCCTGTGCAGGTGCGAGCAGTGGCAACGCTGCGGCACCAGCACCTGGTGCGGCTGCTGGGGTACTGCATGGACTACAACGCGGCCACGGGCCACCAGGAGCAGATCCTCGTCTACGAGTTTGTTCCCCACGGCGACCTCTCCCACTACCTCCACGCAGGGGACGCCCCCCCTGGTTCCACCCGCGTGTCGCTCTCCTTTGAAGAGCTTGTGCGCATTGCTCAGGGCGCGGCGGAAGGCCTGGCATACCTGCACCACTCGCTCTCCCCTCCAATTGTTCACCGCGATGTGAAGCCCGCGAACATTCTCATTGGCGAGAGCCGCACCGCGAAGCTGGGTGATTTCGGGCTGGTTAAGATGGATAACCTGGAAAATGCGACGAACCTGGCGGGCACGCCTGGGTACATGGACCCGGATTATGGTGACAGCAAGATTGTGACGACGGCGAGTGACGTGTTCAGCTTCGGAGTGGTGCTGCTGGAGATGGTGTCGGGGAAGCGGGCTGTGCTGGATGAGAGTGACATCGCCTTCAGCAACCGTCACATCTCCATCTGGGTACGGACGGACCTTAGTGCTGAGCACCGTCTTAGAAATCGCCACGTCTTGCAAAGCAAATTCTCCTTGCATTCTTGGCTAACTTTGAAGTTTGAACTCGCATTCTTGTTTCACCTGTGCAGGCGAACGAGCTTGTGATGACAGGCAAGATCACCCAAGTGGTGATGGAGGACCTGAAGGCGCCACCGGATGCCATCATCATGTTTGTCGATCTCGCCATGGATTGCTTGAAGCGACCTGGAGCCTTGAGGCCGGAGATGCGGGAAGTGGCACGGCGCCTCACCAACATCCTTGCCGTTGCACAAGGAAATGCGCCGGTGGGAGCTCTGATGAAGCAGAAGTCATGGGCGGGAAGTGCCGGGAACGGTTCAAGCGCCAAAGCTGCAGATGAAGCAGCGGAACCGTTTAAGAAGGAAATTGCTTAGTTTTAGTTTTCTTTATTTCGTTCTTTCTTTTGCTTCGTGTGCTTCTGATTAGAAACACCTCGCACAGTATGCAGCAAATGTCGTACCTTCGATTTTACACTTCTTGACATGATGTTGTTGTTCGGATGAACTGAATTGATAATTCCATTGTAATTGTTGCCATTTGTGCAAACCCAACAGGGATGCTCAGAAAATCTGGATCTGGACCAGTGTGTGGCATTCCGCATAGAGGATATTTGCCGCGCCACCAACAACTTCTCCCCGGAAAGCAAGCTGGGTGAGGGTGGCTTTGGCAGCGTCTTCAAGGGCACCGCCCCCGACGGCACCCTGTGGGCCATCAAGCGTGCCAAGTTCCTCACCAACGACTTCGAGAAGGAGGTGAGACGAGGGGGGGGAGGGAGGGTGGAGGTGGGCTTGATTGTTTGAGAAGGTGATTGGCAGGTAAGAGGTGATAGCAGGCAATACCTCGTCTCAGACATCGTGCCATGTCTGTTTGCCCTTCACATTGTATCCCTCATTCCCCTCCCAACCATCCCTCATGCAGGTGCGAGAAGCGGCGATGCTGCGGCACGAGCACCTGGTGCAGTTGCTGGGGTACTGCATGGACTACAACATTGCCACAGGCCACCTGGAGCAGATCCTTGTCTACGAGTTAGTCCCCCACGGCAACCTCTCCCACTACCACCACTCTCCTCCTGGTGCAACCCGAGTGTCCCTCTCCTTTGAGGAGCTCGTATGCATTTCACTGGGTGTGGCAGAAGGGCTGGCATATACCTCCACCACTCGCTCTATCCTCCTATCGTGCATCGCGATGTGAAGCCCGCGAATATTCTCATTGGCGACGGCAAGATGGCGAAGCTGGGCGATTTTGGGCTGGTTATGACGGATAATCCGGAGGTTGCGATGCCTGGGTACTTGGACCCTGAGTATGGTGACGGCAAGATTGCAAGGACCGCAAGTGATATGTATATTTTCAAAAGCTGTAACGCTTTTTAAAATTATGTATTTTGAAAGCGAAGCTGCCTGTAATGTAGGATTTGGCAGCGTCGAGCCGCGCTAAATGCCCGTTTTGGAGTACAAAACGTGGGCTGGAGGTCATTTCCCTCCACCCACGTCTCTCATTTCAGACGGTTTAGCCGATCTGAAGTCTCAATTTTCATTCTCAATTTTCGTCTCCCTTTCCAAGCTGGCGAAGTTGAAGTCTCTTCCCCGTTTTCAATCTCCGTCGACTTTACTCTCGGACATCTTCGCACACAACGCAACAGCTATGGCACTTAACGGCGGCGAGGTTAATACCACTACCGCCCCCGCTCGACCCGAGTCCGGAAGGAACGCTCGCGAAATTGCGGGCGATCGCCCGAACAAGCGCCGGGCTGACGACGGGGAAATTTCCCCGACTGGCGTCGACGTCCTGCTCGGCTCGACTGAGGCACACGCCACGGGCGTCGAGGCACACGCCCCTGGTGTGCCTCGAGCCCCTGTGGCCCCTGACGCGCCGGCCACGACAGAAGGCGCCAAATCGGCGCCAACCAGCGCAGCCGGCACCCCGCGTCCGCGTCAGCGCCGCAGGCCCGTGGGCCCTGACGCGCCTGTGGGCCCTGACGCGCCTGTGGCGCCTGACGCGCAAGTGGCGACGGGTGCCCAAGTGGCGCCAACTTTTTCTGCAGCCCAACTGCAGCAGCTTCTGTCCCTGTTACAGCAGCACGCCCCTGCTGTTACTGAAGAAATAGCTACACCGAACGCGACTTCCGTTTCTGCTAAAAGCGAAAAGGCGAAAACGGAGCCCGTCAAGCGCGCTCTTACGACGAAAACCGGAAGGGGCGAAGACACGCGCGCCGCCGCCACTCCAGTCATGAACAACCCTATCGACAGCGACAACGAAGGCGACGATGATGGTGAGGGACATGCCGTAAATGCCTCTTTCGCACCCACTGAGCAACTCCCCCCACTCCCCTCACCCAATCCCACTCTAACCGCCGCCTCGTTCAAGAACGCTGCCGTGCGCGAGCAAGCCGAGGTCCTGGAACACCTGCGGGCGTACCTGAAGCATGCGGAGCACAAAGTGCGACACAACGAGCTGGAAAGCGCCCTCGAATACCTTGGTGAAGCCTTCACACTCATCAACAACCGCTTCAAGCTACTCCATGTCGCCGACTACACCAACTTCCGCACCGCAAATCGCTTCAAGCTCTATGAAGACAAGAGTGTCTTCACCTCACGCCCGTTCAAGCAGGTCGTCGCGGACGTGGCGGCCATGGAGCGCGCCCAAGGCAATTTCACTCGCACTCCACGCGGCGGAGGGCGCGGGCCCATGGCATTTGGCAACAAGCGCGGTCCCCCACTTGACGGCAATGGCAGGAGCTTTCGTGGCGCATGCTTCCGTTGTGGGCAGCCGGGCCACATGGCCAATGCTTGCCCGGAAAATGGGGGGGGAGCCCAAGGGCCGGCGTCGGTGGTGTGAACACCCTAGGGGGTGGTGCCGAGAGGCTCGAGTGAGGGTGATGGCACTAGGTAGTGCGAGGCCGCTGGCCTATCCCATAGGGGATGTGAGAAAGGCCGCGGGCCTACCCCAAGGCAAGGGGCGTAGGACTAGGAGTCCTAGGTGAACATGTGATTGGAAATAATGTTTGTATGCTCTTATGAATGAGTGGAAAGGCCTAATGGGCGAAGTCGTTGGACTAGCTTGAAAAAAAAAAAAAAAAAAAAGTGGGAGCATGCGCTCTTGATGCGTGGACCTGAAACAACACCCGCACGGCATGGAGGCCTACGGTACACGCGAATTAGAAAGCGAGAGAAGGAGAGAGATAGCGAGCGTAGAAAAAAAAAAAAAAAAAAAAAAAAAAACGGAAAGCGGTAAGATGTTTGGGCTATGCACCCATACAACGCAAAGGAATCACGTGCGAAGGGGGGGCAAACGGAAACGAGATGGTAGGGGACTTGGGGTCCCACAATACCACGAGCACACGCCATTATGCAAGACAAAGGTGGCCAAGAGAGAGAGAGAGAGAGAGAGAGAGAGAGAGAGAGAGAGAGAGAGAGAGAGAGAGAGAGAGAGAGAGAGAGAGAGAGAGAGAGAGAGAACGCCTTGTTCAAAGGCTAAGGCCAGAATCATCGAGTTGGGTGGCAAGTGTCACCACTCTCACGCGATTGGTCCAGAGTTTGACTTGGTTTTTTTGCCAGGATTGGCTTCCGAGTTTCTAACCAAACCTACTGCCTGGGTCTTTGTCTAAACCTACCATTCCCAGTCGACTTCCTGGTGTGATTTGGGTCTTGGGTTTTTAACGAGGCATGCCCCATGTTGCCCCCACACCCCATGGTCCAATGGCCACAGATTTGCCAGGGGATGGAATGATCGAGGGGCGTGGCCCCTACGAGTTTGCGATCACTGACAAGGTCGTCACGACCATGCGTGGGCGCCTGCGCACGGCATTTCCATGGTGGAGCTCATGGTGTGAGAGTAGTTTCATACTCTCGGTAATCTCCAACGGCTATTGGATGCCATGGAAGCATGGCCCACCCACGCCGTTCCGGCAGGACAACCACGCGGGAGCGCTAATTCATTCCACGTTCACCAAGCAGGCAATAACCGAGCTTCTCGAGAGTGGTGCGGCCGCTCCCGCCCCAACGGAACAACAGCTATGTATTAGCCCGCTGAATGTCGTGGTTCAAAGAGAAAAGTGCCGGCTGATTCTTGACCTCCGACGGGTGAACCAACATCTGTGTATCCCCAAATTCAAGTACGAAGGACTGAACCGGGTGGCGGAGCTCGTTCACGAAGACGACTGGATGTTCGCAGTCGATTTAAAATCAGGATACCACCACGTTGACATCCACCCTTCCTGCTGGAAGTTCCTCGGGTTCCAATTCGACGGGCGCTCGTACGTTTTTCAGTCTCTGCCATTTGGTCTGGCGACAGCCCCGTTCGTTTTCACACAGCTCATCAAGCAGCTCGCCCGTCGTTGGCGGGCACTTGGGGTGCGAGTCATCCCTTACGTCGACGACATCCTCTTTCTGTGTCGCACGGCAGCAGAAGCGAGAACCACGAGTCAGATGGTGGTGCAAGACCTCAGCAAGACGGGACTGGTTATCAATTCTAAGAAGTCGCACCTGCAACCCACCCAGCAACTGCGTTTTTTGGGTGTCGAGTTGGATACACAACGCGGCCAGTTCTCCATTGGCCCCAAGCGGCGAGCATCATTACGCTCAACCATTCATGAATTATGCATGGCCGGCAAGGCCGAACGCAAAGTCTCGATCCGCCACGTCGCCAGAGTTACCGGCATGCTCGCGTCGATGTCACTTGCCATCGGCGCAACCGCACGTGCATTCAGCCAGAACCTATTACAGACCATTCAAGATGCCCCTTCCTGGAACAGCAGAGTGCAGTTGGTCCCCGCGGTCATTGAAGAGCTCGAGTTTTGGCTGCATGAATTTGACAAATTCAATGGCGCCCCGTTCCACGTCCCGAACAGCTACGATGCAGTGATGTCAGAACATATAGCTTACTTGTTTGTGTAGGCTATAGTGGGGTATCCCATAGGGGGTACAACACATTAGGGTTTCCTATTTGTATTCACTTCACTTCATAGTCATTCATTCTTGTTCTTTGTTTTCACATGGAATCAGAGCAGGTTCCCTCCTAGGGACTGCTTCTAGGGCCCACCGAACCGCGCCCCGAGGCGCGTTTTTTTTTAGCGACCCGTCGTGTCGCCCCTAGCGGCCCGTTGCGCCGCCCTTCCCCTAGCGGCTCCGCCGCCCTTCCCTAGCGGCCCCGCCGCCCTTCGATCGCGGCTCCGCCGCCCTCTGCTACGCGGCCCCACCGCCGCCCTTCGATCGCGGCCCCGCCGCCCTCGGCTACGCGGCCCCGCCGCCCTCTGCCACGCGGCCCCGCCGCCCTCTGATACGCGGCCCCGCCGCCCTTCGATCGCGGCCCCGCCGCCCTCTACTACGCGGCCCCGCCGCCCTCTGCTACGCGGCTCCGCCGCCCTCTACTACGCGGCCCCGCCACCCTCTGCTACGCGGCCCCGCCGCCCTCTGCTACGCGGCCCCGCCGCCCTTCGATCGCGGCCCCGCCGCCCTCTGCTACGCGGCCCTGCCGCCCTCTGCTACGCGGCCCCGCCGCCCTCTGCTACGCGGCCCCGCCGCCCTCTTCGGTCGCGGCCCCGCCGCCCTCTGCTACGCGGCCCCGCCGCCCTCTGCTACGCGGCCCCGCCGAGCCGCCCAGCATCAGCCGAGCCGCCCAGCAGCAGCCGAGCCGCCGCCGAGCCGCCGCCGCCTGAGCCGCCGCCCGAGCCGCCGCTGAGCTGCGGCCGAGCCGCCGCCCGAGCCGCCCGAGCCGCCCGAACCGCCCGAGCCGCCCGAGCCGCCCGAGCCGCCCGAGCCGCCCGAGCCGCCCGAGCCGCCCGAGCCGCCCGAGCCGCCCGAGCCACCTGAGGAGCCGTGCTGCTGTTCCTGAGCTGTGTTCCTCTGCTGCTGACCTACCCGACTCTCCCAGCCCGGTGAGACTTTCAGCTGCTGCCATGGCCACCCCCAATGTTCTTACTTTTGACGCTGAGGGGAGGGCCATTGACTTTGCCGTCTGGATTGAAGACCTGCAGCTGTACTTACTGTGTGATGCGATAGATGAGGTCTCTCTCTTTGACTTTGTCTCTGGCGCTGTCCCTGCCCCACCTGCTGATGCTGACTCTGCCGTTCGCTCCAAGTGGGCGACCCGCGATGCTGCTGCACGTCTTGCTGTGCGTCGCCACCTCCCTTCCTCTGAGCGTGCCCACTTTAGTCAGTGCAAGACCGCTCAGGCCTTGTACGACGCTGTAGTTG